TTTGAACATGTCTTCTATGCTGGTGTATCACTTCTGTCACATTTAACTGTTCCCTGTATACCTATTCCACTGGGTCCTTCTTGCAGTTGCCTTTGAAGTTCATCCCTCTGTGACAGTTGCAGAATACCATACTCTGTTGCTTGCTTATTTGATAAAACCTGATTTCTTTAAAACTCTTTCAAAACTGTCAGTCCCCCCCCCCAAAAAAAAATCCCACCTTTGTTTTGCTTTCCACTAACAACTGATAAGGAGCTACATCAAAGGTGGGAGAGCGTCAGCTTTTTGGAATTCATGTTTCCCCAAATGAAATGCATTCACAATTACCATCATTTCCTTGTATGAAGGAGGAAGAAAGCAGCCCATAATCTGGGAGATTGGTTCCAGAGGCAATGAGAAACAGTACAGTTGGTTGGGCTTCCAAGTTGTTCTAAAGCAACGTTAGTTCTAGATGCAGTAAATTTATTTTCATATTTTTTTTAAAAAAACAACGTAAATCCTTCAATTAAAAAAGCAAATACTAGAATAAACCAAACAAATCAATACTAAAATAATTCTCTAATCCTGGTCATGGCTTTCCCCCCTAGCTTTATCTTTTTTAAGCCTCAGAGGTACAATTACCAATCCCACAGCCTCCTAATATACTTGACTTGTCTATAAGAGCCCTTGCAGTCTATACTCCCCCCCCCCCCATTTTATCATGTTGGTCTATATGTAGAAAGTAGAAAAAATACCTATAAATATGGGGAAATTGAACCAAAGGGACTGTTGGGATGGGATCCCAAGTATACTTGTGTACTGGGATAAAAAAAGGTGATTACCACTGAAAGTGTAAGAGCTGGATAGGTTGTCTGCCTTTCAAAGTAACCAAACCAGGCCCACAAACTGAGTTTTTCAGGCTCATATAAAAATAGTTGCATCCTTTTGGGTAGCATGGCTAGAAAGTCTTTATTATTACCTAAGGGGGGTGAGAGCTTTTATCCTCTAAAACAGGGGTCCTCAAACTAAGGCCCGGAGGCCAGATACGGCCCTCCAAGGTCATTTTCCTGGCCCTCGCTCAGAGTCAACCTAAGTCTGAAACAATTTGAAAGCACACAACAACAACAACCCTGTCTCATCAGCCAAAAGCAGGCCCACACTTCCCATTGAAATATTAATGTTTATATTTGTTAAAATTGTTCTTCATTTTAATTATTGTATTGTTTTTAAGTGTTTTTTCCCCACTAAAAATAAGATATGTGCAGTGTGCATAGGAATCCATTCATGTTTTTCTTAATCTGGCTCTCCAACAGTTTGAGGGACTGTGAACTGGCCCTCTGTTTAAAAAGTTTGAGGACCCCTGCTCTAAAAGGAAACCAGCAGTGTCATCATCAGATGTGTTTACTATAAAATGTGATGTCTACTTTTGGAAAATAGTAATAATAATAATAATAATAATAATAATAATAATAATAATAATAATAATAATAATTTATACCCCGCTTCATCTCCCCCAGGGGACTCGGTGCGGCTTACATGAGGCCACGCCCATCAGTACAATACACACAATATAACACAAAAGCATAACAAAACCAGAAAATAAAATACTTAAAATGGAAAATCAATATAATAAACAACACAACAATATAAAATCAACTATTAAAACACAAACGATTTTCACTGGGCAGGGCCAAATTCAAAGATAAAATTCTAAAACGCTGGGAGATTTAATGCAAATATAATCCATAAAAATGACAATAATGAAAGTACAAACTAAGAAAACTTGTCTGGTTTTTATAGTAAACAAACCAAGCTGAGGATCTGGCCTTTTCAAGCTCATTTCAAACTGCTGACAGTCCCATCCTTTTGGACAGCAATTTCAAACAGAGTAGAAATGAGAATACCTCACCAGTGGTTTTTTTATTATTATGCAGACCTTCTGTGCGTCAGAGTACATTCTGTATTCCCACGTGCTCAGATAGGTGGCATTAATACATAAATGACATGTACTGCTCTGTTGTATCAGACCAAAGGCCTACAGTCTGTTTGCACTATCAGCGAACAATTGGATACTTCATACTGAAAAGATAATAAATTGAGCACTTTGTGTTGTCACTGAGTACATTACTTGACCACTGAAAAGGTCCCCTTTGATGTCACCACTCAATTAATTCACATGTTGTGGGCTTCCAAAGAGGATCTTAACATGAAGCCTGACAGTCTTTTGGGTATCTCCAGTCCCCCAGCTCTATAGGGCTTTGAAGGTAAATACCAGCACTTTGATCTCTATGGCCAATGTCATCAAGGAGACGTAGTCTCCATAGCAACTGTCCAAATGAGCTTCATATCCAAGAGGGAAATCCTTCCAAATGGCTGCTATTTAATTGCTGGATTGAAAACTTGCTTTTCTAGAAGGAGCTGCATATGCCTCAGAAGACTCTTTTTCACAAGAAAGCATTTGCTTCATCTGCCTTGACCAAACAAACCATTCTTTTCCAATTCAGATGTTATGAGCCAAGAAAGGTGAAGGTAAAGCAGACAAATGGTAGGCTTCACTTGTCAAAGAACCTTACCTCGATCCTTAGCCCATAGAATCTCATCAGTGGAAAAAACTAGAACTTTTCTAGATACCTCAGCAGGTTGCTTGGTGCCAAAATCACAATCAGGTCAGTGAACACAAATGATTTTATCTTCAAAGTGCCTTACAAAAGTGTCACAATGGGCCCCTAGGGTTTCTTCAAATTTCCTGGGTCAAATTGAAGAAAGACCCAAATTGAAAAAAGACCCAAATCCAGATACACTTAAGCTGAATTACAGTGTGTGGATTTGATGATAGAATGTGGATTTGATCATAACCAGAGCTTAGAATTTTGTATTGTCGAAGGCTTTCATGGCTGGAATCACTGGGTTGTTGTAGGTTTTTTCGGGCTATATGGCCATGGTCTAGAGGCATTCTCTCCTGACGTTTCGCCTGCATCTATGACAGGCATCCTCAGAGGTAGTGAGATCTGTTGGAACTAGGAAAAAGGATTTATATATCTGTGGAATGACCAGGGTGAGACAAAGGACTCTTGACTGCTGGAGCTAGGTGTGAATGCTTAGAATTTTATTTTTTTTTTATTTTTTTCGTGTTAGGAGCGACTTGAGAAACTTCAAGTCACTTCTGGTGTGAGAGAATTGGCCATCTACAAGGACATTGCCCAGGCGACGCCTGAATGTTTTAATGTTTTACCATCCTTGTGGGAGGCTTCTCTCATGTCCCCGCAAGCTGAGCTGGAGCTGACAGAGGGAGCTCATCTGTGCTCTCCCGGATTTGAACCTGCGACCTTTTGGTCTTCAATCCTGCCAGCACAAGGGTTTAATCCGTTGCACCACCTGGGGCTTAGAAAATATATAAACGTGCACACAAACACAGACATACATAGAGAAAGAGAGAGCATGAGGATGGAGGGGAGAAAGAGAGAATGACAACTTTCTGGTTGACTTATGTGGGCAGGCATGTAGCTGGGGGGGGGGGCTTGGGGGGCTTCAGCCCCCCCCCCCGAAATTCTCATGATGGTTCGCGAAAAGGCCTTACTGGTGCATTATTTCAACTGCTATGTTTATTCATATCATGATCTGATCACCATACCCAATATATCCCATATCCATGGGGGTATTGGGGTAACGATACAAAAGGTTTGCTAGGGTAGACCCTCTTTCACTCAGACTCAGCCCCCCCCCCCCCGAAACAAACTCAGCCCCCCCCCCCAATCGAAATCCTGGCTACGGGCCTGTATGTGGGAACTGATTGTTGGGTGAGATAGCCTGATCCAGCATGGCTCATCTGTGTCCTATTTTATAGCTTGCCATTATGAGGGAGAGCCAGTCAGGCCCCTTCTTGGTATGCTCTTACCCTGCAAATATGCTAAACCTCCACTGCATCTCAGGATCCTTTTATTGTTGTTGTTGTTTGTTTTTTTCATTTTCCTGAGCATACTACCTATAGAAATAAAAATCATTATTTTGCTCACTATGATTGCAACTATTTGGAGATGTCAGAAGGCACTTTTAAAAAAAGTTATTACTGTACAAACTCAGATATGTAGACATTTTAGTAAACAACAAACAAACAAACAAACACTGAGCCCCAAAACCTGGTTTGACTTATCTAAGTGTTGTACCTTAACTCTTTTTTGAAGGAACTATTTCTGAATAAATTGGTAAAAGGTGAGAGCGTACTTAGTTTGTTCTGGGAGAATTTAGCGTGCTTTTCTGTCTATGCTGCTTCTTGCTTTTTTGATTTCCTGGACAGGAACATGATAGTGACAGTGATCCAGGGGTGGCAGCTCCCCTGAGGTAGTGCTAGCTCTTTCTTCTACCTGCAATATGACCCTTGACTTATCCATGGATCATATCAAAACCCATCATTTTGGCCCCACATCTTGCTTTTGACTTAAACATGGTCGATTTATTCACGTGCTTTGATTGTGCTTTTCCTGCATATCAGGGGGTTGGACTAGATGGCTCATGTGGTCGCTTCCAGCTCTATTATTCTATGATTTTCTGACTCTCAAACCAGCATTCTTTTCCCAGTACATGCTAATACATTTCCATTTTAAAATATACTTTTAGGTATCTATTTCTCAAAAGTAGATGTAAACATCTTTTTCCAATTACTAAGAACATGAGTGAAAAATTGGAACATCAACATACAAAACCTTAGCCTGTTCCACTTTGCATACAGAAAGAAAGTTAATCAAATTGCTAAGGAGTGTCTCATTTTACTTTGGTGCTTAGTTTCCCTCTCAGTAAAACAGAAGAAAGTAAACCATATTAGACTAGTCCTCTGTGTGCAATCAAGTACAAAACTCCTCACAACCTCTGAGGGTGCCTGCCATAGATGCAGGTGAAACGTCAGGAGAGAATGCTTCTGGAACATGGCCATACAGCCCGAAAAACTTACAGCAAACCAAGTACAAATATTAACTCAAAACAACTGTAGAAAATATGGTGGTTTCATGTGTATATTTTAATTATTTTAGGACAGGAAGCTGACCAAAGCAGAACAGCAGAGGTTTAAAGAAGAAGCAGAAATGCTCAAAGGACTCCAACATCCTAACATCGTCCGATTTTATGATTCCTGGGAATCCACAGTCAAAGGAAAGAAATGCATTGTATTAGTAACGGAGTTGATGACATCTGGAACGCTGAAGACGTATGTATATTTCCTAATCCACTGCCTACATAATGCAGTTGTATGTATGTATTTTTTTTCTTTCATGAGTTTAATATAGGTTCCTTTTAATGGAAATATTAATGTATAAGCATTATTTCAACATTCTTCATGTTTTGGTTATTATGAATGTATATTCAGGTACATGAACTACTCTTGATATACCGCAATGGAAAAAAAAACTCATTAAAATAGCAGTAATAAGTAATACAGTTGGCTTTCCACATTCCAGGTTTGATTATTTGTGGATTTGCTTCAGGGGATGGGGCAGTGGCAATTTCAGTAACCATCTACACCCCACCAAAGTTTATGGGCCAGCAGACTTTAGTTGGGGTGGTTCATGAGTGTAATTATTGCTGCACCACCCCTTGAAGATACAGGGAGGGGAGAAGCAGTGAATTCATTTGTCATCCACTCCCCACCGGTAACTGAAATTGTCACTGATCTACTCCCTATGGCTCCAGGGAGTGGAGGAATGACAGTTTCAGTCAACTACCTTCATGAAGTCTACAAACCAGCAGACTTCCGTACGAGTGTGGCTGAATGGCATCTGAAATGGTCGCTGCCCCATTACCTCAGGGGGAAGTGCACCATCCACCTCCTATCAAAATCTGCCATTTTGGAGAAGGCACCCCCCCCCCCCACCCCCATGCACACATACCTGCTGGCTATGCAAGAAAGTCATGCTCCATCCCCGAAGACAGTTACAGTTTTTCCACATTTGCAGAGGTTCAACCCGCTATGAATATAGAGAAAATGTTTTGCATTTATGTAATAAAATAATTTCATAAAAACAATGTAAGGATGCAAAACTGTGCAGAACCCCCAGTGGAATACTTGCAGGGTTTCATGGAACCCTGACTGAAAAATACTATTTTGATTTATCCTACCCAATTAAGTCCTTGTGGAAATATTTTTGATCATCTGCATTTTTATTCTTCTCTTCATAGGTACTTAAAACGTTTCAAAGTCATGAAGCCAAAGGTTTTAAGGAGCTGGTGCCGTCAAATCTTAAAAGGGCTGCATTTTTTGCACACGAGGACCCCTCCTATAATCCACCGTGACTTGAAATGTGACAATATCTTCATCACAGGACCCACTGGTTCAGTCAAGATTGGAGACCTAGGACTGGCAACTTTAATGCGCACATCATTTGCTAAGAGTGTTATTGGTGAATATTATATATTCATATGGTTGATAGCAGAGCTGTGTATGTGTATGTGTGTGTGTTGATACCTCTGTAGAAAGTGAAATCTGCAATTTTATCCAGGTTGAGCTACTGCAGTAGTGAAAACTACAGTTTTGTTTAAAGGTATTGTCAGGGAAACATCTTTAATCTACTGGATGATGAAAATCAGCTTACAGAGTTTGTTCTAGACCGAATAGCAACACGAATACATGCAAGTATAATGTTTTAATGCATTGTCTAAACTCCAGTGTGTGAATAGTGGGACTAGCCCCCAATTCAAAGGCTGGCAGATAGGTCCTTACAACTGAGGTACTATCATTTGGTCACTCGCCTGCATTAATTCCTTCATCTGTTGCTTTTTAATAGCTGTTTGCATTAAGTCATCTTTAATTTATTGCAACCTTACAAATGGAGACTGCTAAGAGCCCCAATCATCAACAGCCCTGTTCAGGTTTTTTGCATACTCAGTGGCATGTCTTCCTTGATTGATTCTATCCAGTTGTAATGTGAAGTTCGTATTTTCATACTGCCTTCCACTTTACTCAGCATTGCTATTTTTTTTATTGAATCATGTTGTCTTGTAATGTGTTCAAAGCACAATATCAATTTATTCAATCATTTTGCTTCTAGTAAGAATAAACTGGGTTTATTTATTTGTATTTTTAATGATATCTACCTCCTCCTTCACTACATTTCAAATAAGTTGATTTGGCCTTGTGCTTATTAGGATATTTGCTCTCCATTTGCCCCAAGCCCCTTCCAGCAGTGTTTTTTTCTAAATATATTTTTGTGGTTTTGGAATTTATAGAATTCCTGCACCCTGCCAGTAATTACCTTTTGTGAATAGGTATAAGTGCCTTGGCTACACAAATATTCACAGTTGGAGAATTATTATTGCTGTTAGTGTGAGCAGATATCAGACTTGCTGTATGCATGTTCCTATTCGTTTGCTCGTTGGTTTTTTCTGCATCCCTGACTTTGAAACCTAACAAAATAAGTGCAAGTTGCAGGTTCAGATGTGGAAGTAAGCAAAGGGGATGTCTCTGCAGAAATACTTAGTTGGGAATTTGTTTTCTGTATCAGAACTGAGCTCATACAGCAGGTCACAATTCACTCCTGCATTTTAAGAGTGCTCTTTGTTTCAATTTTATTATAAACTAAGGTGTAAATCCCAGTGAATCTTCTGGTGTTCACTAATGGACATGTTGAGGATTGCACTGTAAAAGAAGAAGGAAGCCTTTTGTTCTTTGTATTGTCGAAGGCTTTCATGGCCAGAATCACTGGGTTGTTGTAGGTTTTTTTGGGCTATATGGCCATGGTCTAGAGGCATTTTCTCCTGACGTTTCGCCTGCATCTATGGCAAGCATCCTCAAAGGTAGTGAGGTCTGTTGGAACTAGGAAAAAGGGTTTAGATATCTGTGGAATGACCAGGGTGAGACAAAGGACTCTTGTCTGCTGGAGCTAGGTGTGACCACCTTGATTAGCAAATTTTTGGAGCAAATTTTTGTTGAGAGGTGATTGGATGTCCTTGTTCTTGCTCCAGGCACTGTCAGGCCATTATATGCTAATCAAGGTGGTCAGTTGAAACATTCACACCTAGCTCCAGCAGACAAGAGTCCTTTGTCTCCTAGTTCCAACAAACCTCACTACCTTTGACAATGCTTGCCATAGATGCAGGCGAAACGTCAGGAGAAAATGCCTCTAGACCATGGCCAAATAGCCCATAAAAACCTACAACAACCCTTTTGTTCTTTTGTTATTATTAATCAACTCTCAATGAGAAAACCTTGTCCAGATCTAACTTCTCTTTACCTTATATATAAGATGATATAGCAAAGAAAAATTGTCTTGGTAAATACAAAATGAATATATTTCCCCTCTTTTCCCAGGAACTCCTGAATTCATGGCTCCTGAAATGTATGAAGAGCATTACGATGAGTCTGTGGATGTCTATGCATTTGGAATGTGCATGCTGGAGATGGCAACTTCTGAGTACCCTTATTCTGAATGCCAGAACGCAGCTCAAATATACAGAAAAGTAACCAGTGTAGGTGTAAATTTAACTTCTTCATTAGGGCAAACTTGTACATTGGCAGCTTAAGGAAGCTAAGCCTATTATAACTAATGCCGGCCCTGTTACCCTAAGCAACTGCTAAACCTAGTCTGGAGACATTTTCCCCCAACTTTGCAGAGTTTTCTCCCCAGAAAAGCTTATCTTTTCAGGTGTTACATCGATCAAAAAAGTATAACTTGCTATCTGATGTTCAGATGAAACAGCATGCAAGTTAAGCATGTACCTTTTGATGGCTGATCTATGCTAAAATGGATTAGAACAGACAAGGACAAACAGACTGAGATATAGCTTTTATCCTAGAGCTGTGGTTATCTTGAACTCCATGGCTTTGCATTGAGGTGGCATTGAGGGCTGTGCTGTGGTGGTTAGGGTGTGGGGGGATGGGTGTGTTGTTTTGTGTGGTGTCCTGGGGAAGACATTTAATTTTGTTGTGCAGTATTATAATCATATTAAAGCTATTCTATTCTATGTAATAACAATAGCAAAGGTTCCTTGCACTTTGACACTATTTTACTTCTCACATAATGTTCTTAGTAGTCAGGCAATCCAAATGTAACCCCAGTTGGGAAATTAGTTCAACTTTATTTATTAAGTCAATCTACCTAGTCAGTTTTGTCTTGAGGACTGTAATTCTTATTTTTCTGCTTCCTTTGATGGAATTAAAAATAACATTTGAAGAGATGTCTTTATTTATTTTATGAGGGGTGGCTGCCTCTTGGCATTGGCTTATCTACAGTAATTTTATACATTAATTGCACAGAATATCAGTTTATTCAAGCATACTTAGTTTTAGGTGATATTTGAGCTCATCCAGAGTGAAAGTAATATAGGTATCTTAGGATAACTTTGTGATAACAAGTGAATCCTGACTCTTAACTGTGCCACCAAAATAAAGACCTCTTTAATAACATAAATTAGGACAATGCTCAAGGCATTAGGGAAATTTACATGTGCACATGCCTACTATTATTGGGTGCTAGCTATTATGTATGTATATATCATTTATATTGTTAGGCTTCTAGTAAGATATTAAATAAAATTTAAAATATTGAAAAGTATGAAACAGAACTTTCAGAAGTGGTTTTCTAAAAATACCTTCAGAAGATATAATATTTAAAATAATGCAGTAGTGATTTCATGCAATGCTTTTCCTCTAAGGCAAAAATCCAGAGTTAGACATTTTTAGCCTTTACGTAGACAGATAACAGATATAATTGAGTGAATTGTGGGTTGTTGTTGGTTTTTTTTTACCTCATTGTCATTCCAGTGTGCTGAGGTTAGTATTAGGATTAGTGGAGGGACTGATTTTCTGGAGTACTGAGCTACTGAGAACTCCAGTGCCAACCCCACCAACCTACAAACAATCAGAATATTGTCGAAGGCTTTCATGGCCGGAATCACTGGATTGTTGTAGGTTTTTTCGGGCTATATGGCCATGGTCTGGAGGCATTCTCTCCTGATGTTTCGCCTGCATCTATGGCAAGCATCCTCAGAGGTTCTGCATCTATGGCAAGCATCCTCAGTACCTCTGAGGATGCTTGCCATAGATGCAGGCGAAACGTCAGGAGCGAATGCCTCCAGACCATGGCCATATAGCCCGAAAAAACCTACAACAACCCAATCAGAATATTGTGTCAGTTCTACTTCCTAGCATTGATAAAATTGTATGGTGTACTTTGTTACAGTACATTGCATTGGTTGAGACATAAAAGTCACAAAAATCACAAAAATGTCAGCTATTTTATCTATAAAAATAAAAACAAACAAACCCTGTACTGAAGTAACTGAAGCTCCATGATATTGTTTACAGTTATTCTTCAGGTGAAAGTGTCATAAAGTCCCTAGTTTGTAGGTCTGTTCTGTGCGATTCAACACATAACTTGCAGGAATTAAAAGGCCACATCCAACTAAATGAGGACTCAGGCTCTTGAGATCAGTGGGTTTAAACATGCCTACACCTGCACTGCATTTAAGCTTTACTTTCATAGTGCTTTCCATATTTTATCATTCCTAAAACAGTACTGCAAAGGAAGCTAGTATTGTAATTCCATTTTAGCAGATTTGGTAGGGAGAGAACAGTTTGCCTGAAGGAATCCCACTTACCTAGTTCTTAGCTATGATCATTTTTATTTGTTTGTTTCCAGTTATTCTCCAAGGAGCTCCGAACAACGTGGCAACTATCCCAGGGTCAGCCAGGCTGCTTTCTAAACATGGCTATTAGGAAGTAAGCCCATTGGCCTAAATTTAGTTGTTAATCCCAAGTAGAATGGACTCATTGTATAATTCATAATTTTATAAACCCAATATTTAATTACATTCCATTGATTTAGGAATGTCATTTATTTAGGGCACATCTTGACCAATTAAAAAGTCCAGATTTTGTTCCTATTCTTTCTGATTTTATGTTAGAGATAAAATCAGATTTTGTTCCTTGCAGAATATTTTATTTATTTGTTTATTATTTATTTACAGCTTTTATATTCCACCCTTCTCACCCCGCAGGGGACTCAGGGCGGATTACAGTGTACACATATATGGCAAACATTCAATGCCAATTTTGACATACAAACATATACAGACATACACAGAGGCTGTTTAACTTTTTCTGGCCGCCAGGGGAGCTGTCGCTTTCATCGTCCATCTGCGACGCTGATGAAGTACTTCCGCATTCCCCGCATGCTTCCCCGCTGGAATGCTTTTACTGGAGTCTTCTTTATGGCCTCATAAATTAGTTAATTTAGCCTCCCCACACTTTAAGGTGGTACCTAATTTTCCTACTTGACAGATGCAACTGTCTTTCGGGTTGCAAAGGTCGACAACAGGCTACACAATTGGTTGGAAACCCACTCCAACCTGGGCTGGCTTCGAACTCATGACCTTTTGGTCAGAGTGATCTTAATGCAGCTGACACTCAGCCAGCTGCGCCACAATCCGGGTGTCAGCATCTGATATAATCAATTTTTTTTTGGTACCAACTCCTCAGATGAATTTATTTTAACCTGGTATAAAATTGGAAACATCAGGAACAAAATCTGAGGTGTTCCACTCAGTCCAGATGCACTTGCAGTGGGTCTAATCTGGTTGGGACTCGCAAGTGGATATAGATCACTGAATACAGCAGGATTTATTCCTGGGTAAACATACTTAGAATTGTGCTGGCGTGGACCATGAAGTGTGAAGACAGCCACCTGGGTCTCTAGTTAGAATCTAACTGATTGTCATTATAATCTCCAGGAACTGAGAAATAAGTACTTGAAAGAAACCTTTTGAGAGTCAAAGGCTGAGAATCTTGTCTGTACAACAGGAGGTTTTGCAGGATATTTACTGACCCATGTTCATTTGTATAAAGAAAACAATGCTAGGAAATAGATTTACTTTTGCATTAGGTCAGCTTTCGTTCACAATCATGAAACTGCCATATATGTGAGCGCGACTGGTCAGAAAAAGCTAAGAAAAGGGATTAGTCAAATGGATTAGACTGGGTTTTGACCCTTTTCAAGATACTGCATGAAGTGTGATCTGATTTAGAAACAATAGGTGGGATTTTAAGGAAAGAAATCATGGCTGTGGTTTGCAAGACTGTGTGTTTTACTTATGAATAAACATCATCAGGATCAAGGTTTTGTGGCTAAATTATCATTCTACTAACAGGCTGCTTGGAAAAGCCTTGCATCTGGGGATTTTCCATAATTCTTCTAGTTGCAGCAGATAGACTTCCTACTGGGTATTATCTATTAACAACTGCATTCCTTCTCTCCTAGGGCATTAAACCTGCCAGTTTTAACAAGGTGACTGATCCAGAGGTGAAAGAGATCATTGAAGGATGCATTCGGCAAAATAAGTCGGAAAGGTGGGCAGATCAATTTGGTACATCCCCATCCCTATTCCCTTTAATTTAGTCACTGTAAATTAAGTGGCAGAGTATGAGTATTAATAGAAGTTTGTTTGTACTGGCGACAATGGCCTGATTAAATAAAGTGTTCCTGCTTCATATAGCATTTTAAGCACCTGCACCCATCCTTTTGAAGTTAAAGAAAATTAAACTCCCACAGTACAAGTCACATGGCTAAACTGGAATTAATCTGGATGGTATTCAAAATGTTTGTATATTGCAAAAGACAGTATGTGGAGGGATCAAAAGACCCAGTGTTTCAAAGGCAGAGAACTAATTAAAAGAATTGCATTAAAACTCTTGCCTGCATTTTGAACAGATAGGTTTGGATCCCAGAATGAATCTGTCTTTGGTTCACTGAATACCATGGGATCTAGTAGTTCCGAAACAGAGAGGTAGAACATCTTGGTTCCATCAAACCAATGTGAGATGGGATTATGCATTCCTGTAATTTGGGCAAAGAAATTAAAATTACTGGGGGAAGATATTAAAGAGAACTGGGCTATTGGGCTTCATTTTGTTTTAGTCATTTTTTAACTTTTAATCTGTGGCATCGACGTGGGAAAAAAAGGATAATGCAGGTGTCTGCTCTGACCTCCCTGAAAGGCTTGTGAACTAGAGCCATATCTCTTAAGCATGTAAGGACTGAGATTTAAGGAAAGCAGTGGTGGAAGCAGATCTTGGTGAAATTACTTTGTTGGGCTGCCATTCGCAGATCTCTCCCGTGTAGACAAAGCTGACGTTTGGTGAAGTTCAGCTTAAAATAGCATTTCTAGCTTCCTTACTGTCGACAAAAGGTGATTTTTTCCAAGTTTGTCCTTCCTCTCAGTAACTCATTGAGTCCTCCTGTAGCAAAATTGCTACTCTATGTTAAATTTTTGCTGTATAGCTCTTACGTTTACACATGGCAGATTGGGAAGAATAGGCACAGACAGGGTAGCAACAGCAGAGATAGGATTCATTTGCATATGGAAGCCGATTGGTCATATGCAGATTAGAGCAGGCCCAGGATTTGAAAAGGTTGCTAGGCCAAAATGACAGTTGGGAAGAGCAGAGCTAAACATTCCAAAGGGGCAGAGCCAAAGTTTAAAAATAGGCAGTTAGAGAGTCAAAAGTGTGAGTTAGGAATTTCTGTTTGTGAAGTAAGTTAGGGATTCCTGTTTGTGAGAGACAGTTAGGAACTTCTGTGAGAGAAACGAGTTAGGAACTCCTGTTAGAAATCAGCAGTTATGAAGATGTGTTAAAGACTTCTAATATATGAAAGCAGTTAGCTAAATAGAGCTCAAGTTTTAGGAACATAAAGAAAGCCGGTGGTGCTTTAGTCAGAATATATTTTCAGTCAAGAGTGTGTAAAGCAAGTAACATGTTTGTGAATGTGAAATATTGAAAGTCTATTTCAGAAAAGTAAACCAAGTATATTACAGTCAGTAGACTGTAAGCCTCAAGATTGCAACAAAACTCAAATGTAACCACAAGCGTTGGAGCCAGAAGTTATAAATAAACTGTGTTACTTTGTTATACAGAAGTGTGTCTCAGTGCCTGTACTAAGGTTAAACAGTACACAGAAAGTCCCAGCTAATGTAGAAGAAGAAACCGAATCAGTATAAGAGTAAAGAGGTTTTTCTTAAATAAAGAAATAGTCTCTCTCTCTCCCTCGCTGCACCTCCCATTTCTTATGGGTTGAGGAATTCTCTTACAATAAGTGAAATGGTCTGTGGCCTAGGTATTGCAAGGGAAATAGAAAAGACACATGTTGATGCTTTTCTGGATTCAAGTCCAGAACAGTAACCAGGCGAGGATAGCAAAATGTAAGTTGTGTTAGAGGAGATGTTTGCCCTGAAAGACATATTTTTAAAGTATTAATTAATTAGCAATGCACATTGAAGAAGGACCCCAGGGAAATGTAATATTTGAGAGAAGAGTGTAAAGATCCCTTACCTTTCCAGCCTGGATGGCAGGGCCTAGGAACAGCAGGCCAGTTAGTGGCAGCTTTAGTAGGCCTGGCAGAGGGCAGCAGGAGCCATTTTAGTTCAGGGTAAACACCATTTTAGAGAGGGGGAGTGTCCTAGGTCTGAGTTAGCATTAGAACAGCCAGGATTGGTTCAGAAAAGGGGGCGGAGTTTAGCAAGGTTTGGAGGGAAAGAAAGAGGCTTTTTCAGTCAGTCTGGTGTTGTTGGAGATTAGAGTAGGAAGGTAGTTTAGGAGTTCGTGTCTTAATATTAGTTAAGAGAAGGCAGTTTGCCTTAGGCTTGCCAGCAAAAGATAGCTGGTTTTGTAGTTAGCTAGGCCTCAGTTTAGGGTAGCTAAGCTACAGTTGTATCTTGACAGAGATTCAGTTCCTGTCAAGTGTACTTGGTTTTAAAGAGAAGAAAATCTCTGTTTTTTGTAACAAAGAAAGAGCCATTTACATGTAACCATTACGCTTTAAAGACAAGAACTAACATTTCTCTGTAACAGCAAGATTCTTAACAGCACTTACTTTCTCTTGTATGTTATCAATAAACTTTCCTTGATATTTTAAAGCTTAAGAAGCCTGAATCCAGTGTGCCTTTGTGGCTATAGTCCCTTTTTCAGTCAACCTCATCTAGTTTTCCTTTGAAGAAGCAAATAGTAAGAAGACACAGTGTTTGGTGATCTTTAAAGGCATTTTTAATATTTTAAGCAGCTAGGGTGTTCCTGTGCATTGCAGTTTATGGTGGCAGCGAAAGTTAATTAGAGAATCATTCCCTCATAACGTTATATTGGTGCCAGTGAATTCTTTATATTGGAGGGACAGTTGGTGGGATTTGTTTGGCCCTGTCAAGATATATTGTTGGTGCCATATACGAGCCTTTATAAAGAGCATGCTCAAATGAGGTGCTTTTATAAAGAATATTTATCATCTCTCCTAGAGATAACCAGAGTTCAAATCCTTGCTAGGTTATGAAAACACATTGGGTGGCCTTGGGAAAGCCATTATTTCTTCTTGAAGGAAGGCAATGGCACACCTGGTCTGAACAAATCTTGCAGAGAAAAAGATGTGATAGTTTCGCCTTAGAATCAACATACGGTAAGTAGGAAACAACTTGAAGGGGCACAACAACATTATCATCTATTTTATTTTACTGCCAGGCTGTCCATCAAAGACCTCTTAAACCATGCTTTCTTTGCTGAGGACACGGGACTCAGAGTGGAGCTCGCAGAAGATGATGATGGGTTAAATTCTTCTCTGGCATTGAGACTTTGGGTGGAAGATCCCAAGAAACTGAAAGGCAAACACAAAGACAATGAAGCTATCGAGTTCAGTTTCAATCTGGAAACAGATATCCCAGAGGAAGTTGCTTGTGAAATGGTAAGCATTGCCACTGTTTGATTTTCTGTGTTCTGTGATAGTATTACTAGCTCCTTTTGTTGGCTTATTGAAAATAAGAGGCCTTGTTTTTCCATTTCATATTCTCTCTTTTACACTCTTCTTCTAACATCCTTCTGTTCCTAATCGTCACAGAATCCAAATGCTTTCCATTGACTAAACTTGTCTATTCTGTACTATAGCTTTCAAAATTTTGTCAAGTGAAAATAATTTTGCAAACGTAACTGAATTCCCTAGGGGCAGGCATGTAGCTGGGGGGGGGGGGGCTTGGGGGGCTTCAGCACCCCCCCCCAAATTCTCATGGTGGTCCGCGAGAAGGCCTTACTGGTACATTATTTAAACTGTCATGTTTATTCATATCATGATCTGATCACCATGCTCAATATATCCCATATGCATGGGGGTATTGGGGTAATGATACAAAAGGTTTGCTAGGGTAGACCCTCTTTCACTCAGACTCAATCAAACAAATCAAACTCAGCTCCCCCGAAACAAAATCCTGGCTACAGGCCTGCCTAGGGGCTTTGAATGGATCAATTTTCATATCAGGCTAGGGACACTCTGTAAGGGCTATGTCATATTTGTAGTTGGGACAATCAACTTTTTTTCTTGGAAAAAAAGCTGGAGGTTTGGATCAAAGTTATGGTGTGGGCGCAGGGAAGCACTGCTCTTAGTCTAATGCTTCGTTATACAAGTAAATCCTCCCCCGTATACTTATATTAGCTTTCAATTTTCTGTCTGCAAAAAGAGTTGTGAGAGTAGCCAAACACTGCAGTTCTTGCCTGTAGACAAAACTACAGTAGTCATAGATTTTAATTCTCGATTGGATTCTTTGAAAAAAAAAATTAAATAAAATAAAAGCTTTCTTCTGCTGATTTATTTATTTATTTACTATTAAAAACATTTATATTCTGCCCTTCTCACCCCGAAGGGGCCTCAGGGTGGTGCACAGCATATGCATGGTAAACATTCAATGCCAGGACACAAATTCACATACAATACATAAACATTAAAAAAAATTATCAAAATATTAAAATACACCATTTAAAACCGCCCTAGTCATCTGCATCAAATCTAATTGGCCTGGTCATCTTTCCTATTGCCGCTTTATTGCCCTGTCCCGAAAGATTGGTCCCACAGCCAAGTTTTTACCATCCTTCTAAAGGACAGGAGGGAGGGGGCTGACCTGATCTCACCAGGAAGGGAGTTCCATAGCCGGGGAGCAATCACCGAGAAGGACCTGTCTCTCGTCCCCACCAACCGCGCCTGTGACAATGGCGGGACAGAAAGCAGGGCCGCCCCAGAGCATCTTAATCTCCGCGATGGTTCATAGGGAGAGATGCATTCAGACAGGTAATTTGGGCCAGGGCCATTTAGGGCTTTATAGGCCAAAGCCAGCACTTTGACTTGTGCCCGGTAGCAAACTGACAGCCAGTGGAGCTGGCGTAACTTGAGAGTTGTATGCTCCCTGTATGCCACCAGTTATTAACCTGGCTGCCTCTCGTTGGACTATTTGAAGCTTCTGAGCAGTCTTCAAAGGCAACCCCATGTAGAGTGTGTTGCAGTAGTCTATCCTGGATGTAACGAGAGTGTGGACCACCGTGGCCAAGTCTGACTTCCCAAGGTACGGGCGCAGCTGGCACACAAGTTTTAATTGTGCGAACGCTCCTGTGGCCACCGCTGCAACCTGGGATTCCTGGCTCAGAGATAAACCCAGGAGAACTCCCATATTTTTGATAAGAAAGGTTTCTAGGGAATCTTGATAAATTGAACTGAAAAATGGGAGTTTATAAAGAAATAAATGCATAATAATCATTATTTACTAGTCCTGCAAGTAGATCATTCCTTGAAGACAGTTAATCCTCTTATTTGGATGTTAAATCTAAGGGATGAAAAATTGTTCAATACGTTCTTATTCATTGTATTTAACAAGACATTCTAAATTTGTACTTAAAAGTTATGATGCTTTCATGATATTTTGTACAATCTGAGAAGGGACATGAAGTCAGGCAGGGACTTGTTAGCTTCTCCTTAGGAACAATATGAGAGTGTCAGTTTACGATATGCTGAAAAGCAAAACAAGAGATGATTAAGATACAGTGGCAATGTAAGCAAATTTATTTATTTACAAATCACTTCCTTCCTCTGTTTCTTTTATCATCCTTTGCCCAAGTTATCTGTTTAGACTGTGGATTCTTCACTCTGCCGCACTGTTGCCTTGGTTTTGTTTTCTCAAAACATTTGGTTACAACAGCAACTTGACAAGTAACAGCTGATGGCTTGATGATACTAGAAAGAGTCATAGCAGTGCATCTGTTCTCTTCTGTGTGTATTTTTGTAACGGGAGTACTGCCTAGGCATCACCCGCCTACTACCCAACTATGATGTTTTCTGAATTGTCTCAGGATATTCTTCTGCTGGAGTAGAGCCATAAAGTTGCGTTCCTGGGCCCTTCTTAGTAGTCCCTCCCCACCCAGCATTTTTGACAGCTCCACTGAACAGCTATGTGTGAATGGATTGCCATTTATTATGCGCTCCTGAAGTTGAAAAATTGAACCACATATTACATAACTGCTGTCTGTACAATAAAGATAGGAAACAACAGTTAGTCTTTTACCTGTAATAAAAGGAGTTGGGATACATCAGCCAAAACCCCATTTTTATTAGCTGGTTCTAAGCCTGTCTTAACGACAGAAGTTTCTCTTTATCTTTATAAAGCATCTAAAAGGAAATTAGAGTATATTGATCAGATTGGCATACAGTGTAAGGGGGACGAGGACACCTGATGTTCATACTTAGGATTAAGGTATATTTGGCTACCAGTTGGCCTCTTCCACTTTTTCCTTCTGTATATGTATATATTTTTTTATTCAGACTAGATGTATACTATACTGTTCATTGTGTTTTTATTGTGTATTTTGATAAGGCCAATTGGCTGATCAATAAAATTGTTTTGTTTCACCATTTATTGAGGATGGCTGATTGAAGTTGTAGCCTTTAGATCGGTTTAGGCAACTGCCACAAGTTAGGAGGCTTCACTAACCCCTAGTACAGTGGTTCTCAACCTTTCTAATGCCGCGACCCCTTAATAGAGTTCCTCATGTGGTGGTGACCCCCAACCATAACATTACTTTACTTTCATTGCTACTTCATAACTGTCATTTTGCTATTGTTATGAATGCTTTCATGATATTTTGTAATGTAAATATCTGATATGCAGGGTGTATTTTCACTCACTGGATCAATCTGGGTACAAATACCCGATACACCCAAATCTGAATACTGGTGGGGTTGCGGGGAGTCATTTGTCATTTGGGAGTTGTAGTTTCTGGGATTTATAGTTCAGCTACAATTAAAGAGCATCCTGAACTCCACCAGTGATGGAACTGAACCAAATTTGTAACATAACTCCCATGAACAAGAGAAAATATTGGCAGGGTTTGCTGGGTATTGACCTTGAGTTTGGGAGTTGTAGTTCACCTACATCCAGAGAGCACTGTGGACTCAAACAATGGTGGATCTGGACCAAATTTGGCACGAATACTCCATATGCCCAAATGTAAACACTGGTGGAGTTTGGGGAAAATAGACATTGACCTTTGGGATTTGTAATTACTGGGATTTATAGTTTGCGTACAAAGAGTTTTCTGAACTCCACCAACAATAGAATTGGGCCAAACTTGACACACGGAACCCCCTTGACCAACAGAAAATACTGTGTTTTCTGATGGTCTTCGGTGACCCCTCTGATGCCCCCTCGCGACCCCCCTAGGGGTCCCGACCCTCAGATTGAGAAACGCTGCCCTAGTAGGACTTTGGAGGAAAAGCACCTATCCCTACTGGATCTCTTTTCCAAATATTTTTAAACACCCCTAAAAAACTGATATGGTTCTCATGGAGCAGTATTACCATGGGGATTTTTGGGGGGGAGGGGAGGATATGGTGTGAGCTGTGCAAGACCAAAGTTCTTGGATGCTGAAGTTCTTGTGCATACAAGGGCATAGTAAAATGATGGCCCTTATATAAAATGGCAAAAAACAAGGTTCGCTTTTTTGGATTTCTAAAAAGATATTTTCAAGTCTTGGCTGACTGAATCCATGGATATGGAAAGTTAGCTGTAAACCAGAATTCAAGTTACAAACAAAAGTTATTTCCTGTTTTTAAAAAGCCTCTTCTGAATTTAAAATAACCTTAGAGGAGTGTATATCAAATTTCCCCCCTCATTTCCTGAGGGAATGGGAGATATTTTGAGGATTTTTTTCTTAAAGGAGCCTTTCAGATCCCAAAACAGTCTTGATATGCTGGTTCCCTGGCAAGAGTTCCTATAATAAATTCCCTTTCCAGGGTAACATTGACAAAGTGACCTGCTTCTGTACCTTCTTATTTATCTTCCTTTTTATCTGGTATATTTATATAATCGCTATAGATTTTTATCTCAGGACTGCAGACCTTTGACATTTTTATTTGGGGGGGGGGGGGTTAAACCCCAATAGTTACAGCCAGCATAGCCACTAGTAAGGGATTGTGGGAGTTGTAGTTTTCAAAATATCAGGAAGTCCATAGATTCTCTAGTGTATTTTGTTTTATCAAATATTTTTAATAAACTTTTAACTAGCTGGTCTGAATCAATCTAAATGTTAGTTTTAAAATAACCAGGAAGATAATTTTTTGGAAGTTGAAGGAAAGATATTCATAATATCCAAGATCATGTGCTAATATTGGTATAGTCCCTTGATTTTTGAGCTCTTTGTAATAGACCTGAGATTGAGTTGGTACATTGTCAGTACAAAGTCTCATCGCAGTGAAACCCTTATACATAATGAAGTACAAACTCAGAATAACATTGCATAGCATTAAAGGATTCCTGTTTTGAAGAGCAGAGTGATACTAAAAAAATGCAATCCCACCCTTTTTTCATGTGTAGGTAAAGTCAGGATTTTTCCATGAAAGTGACTCCAAAGCTGTGGCTAAATCCATCCGGGACCGTGTTACTTTGATTAAGAAGACCCGAGAAAGAAGGCAGGTGGACTACTTGGAGGAGAGGAGGGACTCTCAAAGCAAGTTGCCAAGTGGCCTGCCTCTGCTCCAGCCACAAGGCTCATCGTTCACCATTGCTTCCCAGCAGAACAAGACAGAGTGTGAAGAAACAGAGGTTGACCAACATGTTCGACAGCAGATCCTTCAACAAATGCAGCACAGTTCCTCCCTCACCGGTAATGAGCAACCAAAATTCCCAGATTCTGTGTTAAAGACAGACAAAAACCATAAAGGGTGAATCTGAACTGAATCTGAACTTCATTTTGTTCAGTCAGTGCCCTCACCCCTTAGGCACTATTACCAAGTTTATGGCTGCTTTATCAGAGAGCAATTGGTTTGGTAACTGTGGTGTATTTCTATGGCCATATGTCAGATTTGGACTTTTCACTAATACTGTGTAGATTATGAAGTGCTGGGGCCTATGTCAGTTCTCATATATGAAATAAGGTCATTTTACTACAATTATTTCAGCATTTATGCTTGAGCAGCAGCATTAATTAATCTGGTTGGCATGGATCTTTGTTCAGTTCTTTAGAAATCTTCCTCTTCATTAGCAAGGATTAAACCAATTTGAATTTGGGAGTAAAGTTTGTAATGTTTGGATTACACTCTGTGTGGTCCTGTGAGTTCAGAGTGCATTGCTTTGGCTACTGAAATAACCTCAAATGTTTATTTGATTTACTTCTTGACTTTATCCCATGAGTGGAGCTCAATGGAATGGAAATAATGTAGATGAGGGAGAACTTATTTTCATAGTCTTGGTAGAAATTGCCACTAAAAATATCATTCCATGTTTCTTGTGATTGAGGGTTGACTAAGCTGAGAAAGGGAGCGTGGAAGCTCTGTTAGGACTTTTCTTTCTCATCTATTTCTAGGCTCAGAATTTCTGCTTGCCTTAGTTTATTTCTCTTTTAAAAATAAGACATAGTGATTTGAGTGTCCTATCCTTTAGCAGATGACCTATCTCCCTGCCTGCCTCTTTCTTTCTTTCTTTCTTTCTTTCTTTCTTTCTTTCTTTCTTTCTTTCTTTCTTTCTTTGTAGGTCCAGAGCAAATTATGGAAACTTTCGAGTAGTGAAATGATAATAATGGATTTATTTTTTCTTCAAAACTCTCCTGGTCAGGCAGATTGGCAAACAGACCATTTTAGGAAAGGGATGTCAAGTCTTATTTCATAGTGTTCAAAGCAGAGATCTTAACACATCTAATTGTTCATAATTCACACTGTTATTAGAGATTTTTGACATTCTACTTCTCTTAATAATAATAACAATAATAATAATAACAATAATAATAACAACAATAATTATTATTCATCTATATACCACATCTCCCCAAAGGGTCTCAGGACTTATACCACTTGATTGGTATAAGAGTGCAATACTGCTTAAGTATTTTATAATAAAGTAAAGCTTTCCCCTAACATTAAGTCTAGTCATGTCTGACTCTGGGGGATGGTGCTCATCTCCATTTCTAATCCGAAATGCTGCCATTGTCCGTAGAAACCTCCAAGGTCATGTGGTCAGCATGACTGCATGGAGTGCCGTTACCTTTCCACAGAAGCGGTACCTATTGATCTACTCACTTTTGCATGTTTTCGAACTGCTAGGTGGCAGAAGCTGGGGCTAACAGTGGGAGCTTGCCCCACTTCCCAAGTTCAAACCACCAATCTTTAAGTCAGCAAGTTCAGCAGGTCAGTGGTTTAACCCGCTGCACCACTGGGGGCCCCATGTATTTTAGAGTTATCTTTAATTTCAAAATAAAAATGCAGTTTTTTCTCAAAAAGAAAGGAGATAACTCTAATCAAGCAGTATCTCAATCTTCAAAGAAATTTCAGTTCCCCTTTTGTTACTGCCAGCATTGAACAAAATTAAGTGAAGCTTGGTTCTGGTAATTAAACTAAATGTCAGTTTGGCACATTCAAAGTTCTCAAGAGCATCCATTTGGGCATACAGGATTGTCACATTTTGTCTTCACAACAGTCCCATTAGATATTTTTGACTAGGAGAGTGTAATGAACATAATTTTTGGTTATTATTTGAACAGCAGTCCAAGTTTTCTACACACTGCTCCATGTTGGCTACTAATAGAAACTGAGAATTACAGTATATTCCAAGAAATTTAAGGGCATAGGTCTCAGAGGCACGTAGCGATAAGGCACATGCCTTTCATGCAGAAAATTCCAGGTTCGGTCCTTAGCATTTCCATGTAGAGCTAGAAGGAGCTACAGTAGTCTATACTATTGGTTACACTGGCCAATGATCAATGAGTTTTGCAGTCTAATAGCATCTGTAAAGTCAATGTAGGTCAGAGTGGCACACATAATACCCTGGCCCTTGACTATGTTGACTGGGACTGGAGCATCTAGAAGGGAAATTAGGGTTTGTCCTTGACATATAGCAAACTGAGCTAGGTGGATCTGATTTAAGGCAACTTCTGATGTTCTGTGTAAAAAGATTACTTGGGACTGCTAGAAATACCGTAATATTGTCCAGTTTCTTAAGAAAGCAAGATTACGTCTCTTATCACACTAGAGCATAGAGTAGGCAAAGAGGATGCATCACATCTGAAATTGTGTGACTGCCTCCTGCAGAATTCTGGGGCTTGTAGTTTAGTGTGACCCAGGACCTCCCTGGCAGAGCATTTTAGAGGCCCCTTCCCTAAACTCCAAACCCCAGAATTCTTCAGGAGGCAGACACAGGATTTCAGATGTAATTCATACTCTTCACCTACTTTTTAAGCTCTAGTGCAGTGGTTCTCAACCTTTCTAATGCCGTGACCCCTAAATAAAGTTCCTCATGTTGTGGTGACCCCCAAGCACATTTTCGTTACTACTTCATAACAGTAATATTGCTACTGTTATGAATTGCAATGTAAATATCTTCTATGCAGGATGTATTTTCAATGTTACAAGTTGAACATAATACAAGTTATCAGTGCATCCCCCTCTCTCTTCAGAATGGATGGACGGCGCTCGTACCTCTTCCTTCTCACGCCAGGGATGAGAGAGAAAGAGAGAGGGGGGACGCACTGATAACAACAGTGGCAGCAGTGGATGGCTTCACTTGCAGCCCCCAGCTGAGCTCGGACGTTCTGTGAGGCTGCAAGTGAAGCCGTCCGCTGCCGCCGCTGTTGTAATCAGTGCACCCCCCTGTGCTCATCCCTGGCATGAGAAGGAAGGAAGAGGAGCGAACGCCGTCCGTCCATTGGATGCGCGAGCCGGGCAGCTGTGGAAACACATACACACTCTGGCGTGCGCAACAGCAAGCGGTAGCCTTCTTTTCTCAATTACTATATTCATCATTTTGTAATTGTATGCTGAGGAGGAAGAGGAGACCACTCGGCTGCTGCCCTGGCCGAGGAAGAATTCTTGTACATGAGGGGAGAGAAGCCCCAAGCTGCGGCTGCTGATCTTGGGAGAAATACGGGGAGAAGAATGCAAAGCTGCCCCCAGAACTGGATATGGAAATATCAGTAAATGAACCATCCATCCGTTGTGTGCGCGAGCCTTTCTCTCGACCCTCGCGCCCTGTTGAGCTTCAAAGAATGGTGTGTCTTCACCCTCGTGCTCCTTTGCCTCTAAGCTCCTCCTCCTGACTCCCTGCAGCCCTATGGGAACAGGAGGTGGAGGAGCTGACCTGAAATGCCTAGCTGTTTCGTTGGCACAGGGGCTGGCAGCCATTTTGATGAGGCGGAGGGGGCGGGGCCAACCAAGGCGCCTTCGCGATCCCTGGAAAATAGCCCAGCGACCCCACTAGGGGTCGCAACCCCCAGGTTGAGAACCGCTGCTCTGGTGTGATACAGGCCCAGATCGTTCTATCATTCTCCCTTTCCTTTACATAGAAGACAATAGATATGCATTTTTTTGTATTTTCTTCATAGAGTCAATGTTCGATCCTCATAGTTTCTTAAAGGCTCATTGTTCCATTGCGAGCATCTAAGTGTTTGTCTGACATGGCTGCAAGAAAAAAGGAAATTGCTTTTGAATTCTTCTGGCTGGTCTAATATTTTGTCCTTCCTTTCTCTCATCCTGATATAGCTGACAGCTTATCTGACCAAGGAACAGGATCAGTGACACTGTCAGATGCCTCCAGCCAACACAGCATTCCCTTCTCTTCAGATCAGATGGTGGGCACCCAGCAAGTTCCTAGCCTCACGCAAGCTGAAAACAGTGTTCAAGGGCCTATCTATACTTCCCAGCAGCTGGTGGGGCATTTCCAGTCCATACCAGGGGTAAGAGGTCTAAAATTTTCTTAAATAAATATGTAGGTAAAAGGATTTATTTCCACTGATGTTTGCATGGTGTTTCAGCTTTGATAGCTGGGATTTCAGTCATTCCAGAGAAGACATAAAATAAAATGGGAAGGCACTGCCTTTTTAAAAAACAAGACTGTTTTAGAATAGAACATTTCATTTAAATAGTAATAAGAAATCCCAAGCTTAATATCAAAATATTAATGAAAGGAGAATTTCATTTTATTCAAATTAAGTTGCATGGAGTTTCTGCATAGGCTAGGAAAATGCGTAACCTCCCTATCTTGTTGGACTGCAGCTCCTTTCACCCTTCTTCACTGGCTATAATATCCTATACTATCTGGAGTACCACATATTACACTCTGCTAACATATAGGATATTTAAACATGGAATGTATTATTTTAAATCCTCGTAACATATTACCAGTCATATTTTATATTGACCGGAATTGAGCCATCAAAATATCCACCCAAAAAGATAAAATGAAAGCAGTTGCTTTGGACAGTAATATATTTTTAAAAAATCTTACATAATTCATTTATTTGAAGAAAGGTAACATTTGAAATGTGTCTTTCTTACAATTCCAAGACAGAGGAGGAAATGTTTTAAAACTAATTTACTTTGTAGTGAAGACTCAATTCAGAGATCTTAGTGAGAGGTTTAAACCATCCTGGATGTTGTTTGCTTCAGAGTGTTGTCATGAGAATATAACATAGGATGCAGGAAAATTGAGCATTTGGAAATTATGGATATGAGACTCATTTGGGCCCTTTTTTATATTGTAAGCAAGCAGGAGTATCTCATGCACTTGGTCTAATAGGAGAACAAGCAGATGAACTATCATCCAGTTAGCCTATATCAATCTCAGGTCCATTGTCCAGAATTCATAATTGTTCACTTGATTGTTCCAATATTAACACATGATCTTGGCTCTTATGAATATTTTTGCTTCTACTTGCAAATACTTGCCCTCCCTTTGACAGTATAAAACAAACATTGAGACTGATTTGTAGCAGCTAGTTAAAAAAAATATTAAAATATGTTTGATAAAACAAAATACATTATGGAACCTATGGACTTCCTGATGTTCTGAAATCTACAGCTCCTACAATCTCTTGTTTGTGGCCATGCTGGCTGCAACATTAAAGCCCAAAATATCTGAGGTGCTTGAGGTTCTCCAGTGCTGAGATAAAAATCCGTAACCAATATGTACCAAGCACATAAAACTATTGTGTCATACTGCTGGGAACTATGAGCCTCCAGCAACTCAGTTTCCAACTCCTGAGCCAGCCAGTGAGGTATGATGTGTACAATTTTTCTGAAAGCAACAAGAAGCCACATCTTATCAACTCTAGGTATGTCTTGGATGTCTTTCCTACTCTTGAGTTGCACATGACACCTCTTCTTCAAATGTTTCTTCAAATGTTTATTTTTGACCTGAAACCTGGAACAGTGGGCTAACAGTGTCAATATGTATGTGTGTGTGAGAGAGAGTTTTCTATCTCTTTATGAGTAAACAGCTGAATGCTACTATATGATCTTTTGGTAGGAAATTTGCTAAGTTTTATTTGTACTTCTTTCAAATTTTCATAACGGGTTTTTTAAATTACATTTTATTAATTGACAATGACCTGAAGTTACTTGGAAGAGATAATAATTTGAGGGAACATGTGAAGGTTTGAGTCGATTAAAACTGTAGATGTAAATTTTACCAGTAAACTTTACCTATTCGACCTCAGCAACTTATTTTTAAAATGTAATTTTATTAATGATCAAGGCTCTGGAAAACAAGCCCTATGAGGAGTGGCTTGGGGAGCTGGGCATGTTTAGCCTGAAGAAGAGAAGACTGAGAGGAGATATGATGGCCATGTATAAATATGTGAGAGGAAGCCACAGGGAGGAGGGAGCAAGCTTGTTTTCTGCTTCCCTGGAGACTAGGACGCAATGGAACAATGGCTTCAAACTACAAGAAAGGAGATTCCATCTGAACATTAGGAAGAACTTCCTGACTATGAGATCCGCTCAGCAGTGGAACTCTCTGCCCCTGAGTGTGGTGGAGGCTCTTTCTTTGGAAGCTTTTAAACAGAGGCTGGATGGCCATCTGTAAGGGGTGATTTGAATGCAATATTCCTGCTTCTTGGCAGGGGGTTGGACTGGATGGCCCATGAGGTCTCTTCCAACTCTTTGATTCTATGATTCTACATTATTAACAATATTACATAATGATATAATGTAATAATTTTTAAACTGAACAAACAAGAAACTCACTTGGCATTGCATATTATTTCCCCCAAAAGGAAAAAAAAAATCAGAGTTTATATGAAATGTTTGGTTCGGAGGTTCACAGAATGAGAAAATAACAGTCGATTTACCATTTAGCTAAAAGTATCTCTACATAGATAGTGAGTGACCCATGTTAATTGTTCTCTAATAATAGAATCATAGAATCAAAGAGTTGGAAGAGACCTCATGGGCCATCCAGTCCAACTCCCTGCCGAGAAGCAGGAATATTGCATTCAAATCACCCCTGACAGATGGCCATCCAGCCTCTGTTTAAAAGCTTCCAAAGAAGGAGCCTCCACCACACTCCGGGGCAGAGAGTTCCACTGCTGAACGGCTCTCACAGTCAGGAAGTTCTTCCTCATGTTCAGATGGAATCTCCTCTCTTGTAGTTTGAAGCCATTGTTCTGCGTCCTTTTTATTCAGAGCACCTTAAAGAGTAATAAAAATCCAGTTCCTCAAAAATCTACCAAAACCGGGCTGGTATTTCCACAGATTTGTTATCAGAGGGAGTAATACGTGTAATGAAGCCTTCATATGCATTAAGGCATACTGTTGGATTCTTCAGTAGGTGACACTGTTACAGTGCTTTGTTCATTAAGGCACTTTGGGTCAGTTAATCAGCTTTTTAGAGAGCACATCTCGGGGAAAAGTATCATTCTCCCCAAAGAACATGTCACAATAGGTTGCAGGCAGATGAAACTGGAGAGCTGGAACATAGACAGTTCCTTTGTTTTTCTAGGAAAAAACAGTGTATTAATTCTTTCTTAATACAGATGCTGCAGCATCCAGAGTCTGTTTTCAGCTCTGACTATCTACAGTAGTGGTTCTCAACCTGGGGTCCCCAGATGTTTTTGGCTTACAACTCCCAGAAATCCCAGCCAGTTTACCAGCTGTTAGGATTTCTGGGAGTTGAAGACCAAAAGCATCTGGGGACCCCAGGTTGAGAACCACTGATCTACAGTTTGGTCCCTCTTGCTGCTCCCCAATCCCATGCATCCCCACACTCAGGATGGTTAAAACCTTCCCTGAAAACCTGACAGTCTGTTCAAACAACCACTCAGAAGTGTCTCCCAAATTCAGTTTAGTCATTTAGCAGTGATTCCACCCCAGTGGCTATAGTAATGTTCAAAACTTGGAAGATTCCGTTTGAAGAGTTATTCATTCCCATTACCTCACTGCATTAACTCAGTGCATTGACCATGCATTTTCCTAGTATTTTTATCACTTTTAAAAAATAGGAAGTCATATTGAAAAACGACTTTGAAAAGTAACTAGAACATATTACTCATTGTATGACTTCATCCCTACGCATCACGTTAATTTCATTGTCAAAATCAGTGATAAGGGCTAACAAATTAACCCTGAATTTCAGCAAATGGAATAGTTTAAACTATTAAAAAATATAAATGATTACATTGGAATTGTTTCTCCAAACTTAAATTATTAAGCTACTGAGGTACAGAGTTAAAGAGGCAACCAATTCTCCATTACTCAATTAGTCTCCTCCATCCATTAGTTTTTGCCAAACTTTTTCTCTGCCTCCCTTTTTTCTCATGATTGGGAAATTACAGAATATAGCTCACTAGTAGCAAGGGAAATAGGAAAGGGATGACTTTCCTACTTTCAGATAGCTCCTTATGTGTTCTGTACTCCATAGAGGTTTCTGATCTTGCCAAGGAAACTGAAGTTGGAAGCTTTAAGTGTAGTCTGTGAAGGAATCAATAAGTTTAAGAAAGTAGACGAGAAGATAAATTATATATAAAAAATTAACAATAAGAAAAGAGTGTACTGTATATAGTCAAGTATAACTCAACCTCATGTATAAGAGCAGATGTTGGTGTCAAAGTATTCATATTGATATGACCAATGGATGTTGAGGGTCATTCTTTGGATAGGGAAAATGCTTGATTCATGGATAAGTCAATCCAGGATTTGAGGGTTGGTTTTCTGAAAAAAAAATCTAGACCTATTATTAGTATATAGCAGGGATCCTCAAACTAAGGCCCGGGGGCCAGATATGGCCCTCCAAGGTCATTTACCCAGACCTTGCTCAGGGTCAACCTAAGTCTGAAACAACTTGAAAGCACACAACAACAACAATCCTATCTCATCAGCCAAAAGCAGGCCCACACTTCCCATTGAAATACTAATAAGCTTATATATTTTTAAAATTGTTCTTAATTTTAATTATTGCATTGTTTTTAAGTGGGTTTTTTTGTACTGCAAATAAGATATGTTCAGTGTGCATAGGAATTCATTCATGTATTTTCAAATTATAATCCGGCCCTCCAACAGTTTGAGGGACTGTGACCTGGCCCTCTGTTTAAAAAGTTTGAGGACCCCTGGTATATAGGGTATGTTAAGTGGGTGAAAAGTTAGATTTCTAAAAACAGGGACAAAGAAATTAATAAAATCACAGATGATAGTGATTTTATTAAGACTTGCTGCAGAAATATAAGTATAATTGCTAGTCTAAAATTAACATTCCCATATTAACATATGGTAAATGTAGTTCAATTAGATTTAAAGCTCCGTAATAATCTAATACATTAATCCCTTCCTGCCAACTTTCCAGTTTAAATGAAAAAGGTAACATGGTACAGATAACTATGTGACTGGTGACTTATTAATCCAACTTATGATTTTTTTAAAATATAGAAAGCTGGGGATGGGATATTCAGCTTAAGATTTGTATTTTAAAAACTATTTCTAAATATTTTCTGTCAAACAGACACTGTTATAACAGATATAAGGAATTCAGTGTCTGAATCAGAGAAAAGCAGGAATGTTCACAAAAGTGAAGCAAGTGCTGAAAAAGGTAGTGGGAGTTTTTCTTCTCTTGGAACTAGCCAAATGTGACATCATGTTGGTCACTTCTGCACTGTAAATGATCCTAGGTTTGCAATGTAGGAGTCGTTAGATGAGTTATACTTCTGGTCCAAATTAACCCCTGCCAGTTTTCCTTCTGAAAGCATTCTTTCAGAGATCAAAAGCAGGCCTAAAACACTGGTACTGCTGCAAGGAAGGAGGTGGAACTAGGATTCAGAGGAAAAGTTCTAGGTGGAGAGAAGGAGGGTTAAGTAGCCTTCAGCTCTTTCTGTGTTGTAAATTGCCTCTCTTGAGAATATTCTCCATACTGAGAAAATGGATAACCCATCACTGCCTTAGAATGTGCAAGTCAATCTGAAATATACCACAAAGCAGTATCTAGTTTTCAAGGGAAACCATCGCATGCAACCTTGTTCTATTGTAAGTAAAGCTATATACAGTATTATGTATCTAATGTGTACCCCAATTTTGGCAAAGCCATTTAGCACCTTTTTTGGCTGTTGGAGGGCCGGATTATAATTTGGAAAAAAAATGAATGAATTCCTATGTATGCTGCACATATCTTATTTGTAGTGCAAAAAAACCCCTTTAAAAACAATACAGTAATTAAAATGAAGAACAATTTTAACAAATATAAACTTATTAGTATTTCAATGGGAAGTGTGGGCCTGCTTTTGACTGATGAGATAGGATTGTTATTGTTGTTGTGTGCTTTCAAGTAGTTTCAGACATAGGTTGACCCTGAGTGAGGGCCGGGTAAATGACCTTGGAGGGCTGTATCCGGCCCCCGGGCCTTAGTTTGAGGATCTCTGGTCTAGACTCTAGAATAAGTTTGTGTAATCAGTAAGAAGACTACACAAACTTAGAGTTTTTGGATGTATGGGCAAATATAAGGATTTATTTATTTATTTATCGTGTCAGGAGCAACCAGACATTTGTATTACATTTTAACAAAACAAACAAACAGACAAAACACAAAGTTTGCAAGCTTGGTAGTTGATTAAATGTCCTTTGACCAGGTGCTGGCCACTTGGAGTGCCTCTGGTGTTGCCGCAAGGAGGTCCTCCATTGTGCATGTAGCAGGACTCAGGTTGCATTGCAGCAGGTGGTCAGTGGTTTGCTCTTCTCCACACTCGCATGTCGTGGATTCCACTTTGTAGCCCCATTTCTTAAGAAATATAAGGATGACATCATTTATTAGCTGGGAAGGATACCTGTATTAAAGGGAAAGCTGCATTTGCAAACATACCTCGGTATGTTGAAGAAGAAAGCTCTCACTGTATTTGTCAGGTGATCTTGGAATCTGTGTTTCCTTCCTGCTGCTCAAAACTGAAAACAGAAAACTCTAGGAGTTTAACCCAACTCTTTCTTCATTGAATGCTGTAACTCTGAACTGTGAACTATGTGCAAATGCATGTAGCTACAGGAGTACAAGTCTGTTGAATAAACAAACCCTTTATATAAAAAGAGGCTACTGAAGGATGCATTTGACAGGAGAGAAGGGACTTTATGCTTTCCTCATTTGTATTTATGGACTTCATCACACTAGAGCAGCTATCCACTTTAAATTCTGTAGTTGCCTCCTGCAGAATTCTGAGACTTTTAGTTTAGGGAGGGGGCTTTAAGTGGCTCAGCCAGAGAAGTCTTTGGCCTCACTAAACTACAAGCTTCAGAATCCTGCAGGAGGCAGCCACAGGATATAAAGTGGATAGATGCACTAATGTGATGAGTGTGTGTTCTTCACTGTCTCCTTTCCAGCAGCCATTCCTTATACAGGTTTAAATAATAAGGATTTAAGGGGAGGCTGAGCTCCTGGAATGCAGTAGTAGCTTATGAGTCTCTCCAAAATGAACCTCCAGATAGAACCAAACCTTGCCAATAAGTTTTTTTTAAAACCACCCTAAAACTTCAAAAGCAGACTATCAGCTAAGTGTTTATTTCAGATTCAGCTAAGAATAATACCTCTTGTCCAGCTACAACTAATAAAGTCGTTATTTTAGTGTATTGCCAAGATGATGGGATTTTACAATCTTATACAACATTTCTTGTTATCCATATAAGCGTTATTTCTGAGATGGTGAAAATGTTGCCTAGACTAAGGTCTAAAAGTAGAAAAACCTTAAATTTAACCACTTTTAAAAATATTTCTTTTCCCCAGCCTTCCGATTCCCAGGTATTGTACGGTACAGAAGGACAGGCCTTGGATGGATCTATCATGTGTATCCCTCAGCAGGTCTTGACAGTCACTTCCCCGCAAAGTATACCTGCTCCACAGATTGCAAACCAGCAGCTGTCAGCCAGCATACAACAGTCACCTGCTCCTAGACTCAGTAGTCAGTCTTCGGCTGCTGCAGCATCAGTGGATTTGGAATATGCTCCTGCCAGTTCTGTACCTGCCAGTCATTCACCTATTCAACAGGGACAGCCTCCTGTCCAGTTTGTCAGTAATGTAGCAAATTTGGCACAGGGTGTTGTGAATTCCTCAGCACCACAGTCAATTCCACAAGGAGTTGCATCAATTCAACAACCCCAGCAAATTCCCCAGCAGGTGCCATCTATACAGCAGCCACAACAGGCTTCCCAGCAGATGGCTTCCATGCAACAATCCCAGCAAATGAGTCATCAAATGTCATCACAACATGTTTCCCAGCATTTGGTGGCTGCACAGCAGACTCAGCACATTCCGCAGCAGATGGCAAACATGCAGCAAGCTCAGCAGGTGACATCATTGCAGCAGCCTCAGCAAATGGCATCCATGCAGCAGCCCCAGCAAATGGTGACCATGCAGCCACCCCAGCATGTTTCCCACCAAATGTCTCCCATGCAGCATTCCCAGCAAGTTCCACAACAAATGGCATCCATGCAGCAGCAGCCTCAGCAGATCCCTTTACAGGTGGCATCCATGCAGCAGCCCCAGCAGGTTTCTCAGCAAATGGCTTCCTTGCAGCATTCCCAGCAAATTCCACAGCAAATGGCATCCATGCAGCAGCAAGTGGTATCCATGCAGCAACCCCAGCAAATCTTGCAGATGGCATCTATGAATCAACCCCAACAGATTCCTCAACAGATGGCGTCTATGAATCAACCCCAACAGATTCCTCAACAGATGGCATCCATGCAGCAGCCCCAACAGGTTTCACAGCAGGTGGCATCCATGCAGCAGCCCCAGCAAATGCCCCAGCAAGTGATACCTGTGCAGCAGCCCCATCAGCTTCCACAGCAGATTGCATCCATGCAGCAGTCCCAGCAAGTGGCGTCCATGCAGCAATCTCAGCAGGTTCCTCAACAGGTACAGCAAGTGGTGTCCATGCAGCAGCAGCAGCAAAATACACAGCAAGTGGTATCCATGCAGCAGCCACAGCAGATGACCCAGCAAGAGGCATCCATACAGCCCATGCAAAATCCTCAACAAGCACTATCCATTCAGCAGCAGCCACAGCAAATGACCCAGCAAGTAATTTCCATGCAGCAGCCACAGCAGGTTTCCCAATTGGTGGCATCCATGCAGCAGCCTCAGCAGATTCCCCAACAGATGGCATCCATGCAACAGCCCCAGCAGGTTGCCCAGAATGTGCCATCCATGCAGCCGCAGCAAATGCCATCCATGCACCCACCCCAGCAGGTGGTATCCATGCAACAACCCCAGCAAGTTCCCCAGCAAATGACATCCATGCAGCAGCCCCAGCAAATGCCCCAGCCACTTGTATCCATGCAACAAGCTCAGCAGGTGGTGTCCATGCAACAGCCTCAGCAAATGCAGCAACAAGCAGTGTCCATGCAGCAGCCCCAGCAAGTTCCCCAGCATGGAATATCAACACAACATCTCCAAACAGCATCAGTCATGCCACAGTCTCAACAAACCTCCTATCAGATGGGCTCTATTCAACAGTCTCCACAAGTCCCTCAGCAGGTTAGCTCTTTTCAACAGCCACAACAAGTTGGATCTGTACACCAGGCTTCCAACATACCGCAGCAAGCAGCACCAACACAGCAGTGCCCGCAATACCCAAGCATGCCTGTAGGTACTCCCAGGCAGTCTTCTTTGCCCCAGCAAGATCAGCAAACTATTCAGATTCATCAATCCACAGATCTGCACCCTGGTGTAATGCAACAGATGTTATTCCACTTGTCTGTACAGCAGCCAAAACAGGAGCAGCTTGTCCTCCCTTCTAGTGCTACAGAGCAGATGCCAGTTGCACCTCAGCAAGATGTAGAAAAGCAGCAGCTGGGAGCTGAGCTTTCCTGTTCAGAACAGGCGGTTTATTCTGTGCAGAACCAGTATCAGGCGCAAACGCAAGAACAACTGATCTATCCTGCTCCACCCTCACACCACCTACCAGCTTCTGAGCAACTGGCTCACCAAGTACAGCCGGCAAACCAGCAGGAGGTACCAGAGCAAGCAACATGCCAGATGCATGCCACATACCCAGTGCAGGGTTCAGATCAACCTCCCTGCCAAGAGCAATTGGGATATCCAACACCTGGAATCTATGCAGGGCAGGCCTTGGACCCAGCAACATATCCAATGCAGCCTTATTACCACGGACAGCAGGCAGCATTCAGAACCCAACCACCACCATATCTTGGTCAACCTCCTGAAATCCAGCAGTCTCACCTAGCAGTACAGGCCACAGATCAGCCAAATTTTTCTGCACAGTCTCCTGAGCAATCGCTATATATGATGAAAGATGGCGGTGTTGGGGGTATGGAACAGCAGGTCTGCTTGGCGCAACCAGGGGAAGTCCTTTCTTATCCTTCAGAGCAGCACCAGTCTGAGCCACCAACATATCTCATCCCGCAAGATACTAACCTCGGGCACCAGCTGTCACCTCATATGCTGCATAGGATTGCTGAAAAACAACAGCCAGAAATGCAAACCCCTTTTGTACCATCTTTTGTACCACAAATGCAGCCACAACCTCCATATCAGGAACTCAGACAGCATCCTCAGCCTCTCCAAATCACAAACCCTCAGTCAGTCCCAAGCATATTACAGGTGGCATCTTCTGTCCCAGAACAGCCAGAATCGGCTTACACAGTCCAACAATCATCAGAACTCTCGGAGCCCCTGCCCAACGCAAGTCTCATCCAGCCACCCCAAGCATTTCAGCCAGCTGAAAGCAACCAGCAATTTTCTCCCATGCAGTCAGGATATGTTCAACAGCAGCCAGTGTATCAGACTTCAGCATTCTCTGGCGAACTGGGCCTTCAGAACCAGGTGCCTCCTCTGGCGACATCCCTGAACCAGCAAGCTTCACTTAGCACAGTGGTACAACCAAACCAAGAACATATACAAGGACAAGATATCCCACAGGTATGCCTGAATTTAAAATGAGAGTCTGGAATGTTTCTAGCTATGTTTATCATTGTTATATTAACTAATTTTGTTATTAAATTGTTTGTTTTCAGAACAAATCATAGGATTGTAGAGAAGCTGTCTGACCCACTGAAGTAAAATGTGGGTGAAAAGCAAAATGGGGATAGAGAAAGCGAGAAGCTAAGATATGACAAATGGGTGGGGGTGGGCATTTGATGAAGACGTTTTACATAATTTATGAATGGTGTAAATAATAAATAAATAAATGAGTATGGGTTTATTCAATAAAAATTAACGAAGGAAAATGGAGGAGAGTCACAACACACAAAAGACTCTCCAGAAGCTAGTAGAGATGGAAGAGAGGAGCAACCAGCCTTCTCTTCTAAAACAATCTATATAAATAAAAATGTAATGTTCGTTTGTGGTATTAACAGAACTCAAAAACCACAGGACGAATTGACACCAAATTTGGACACACGACACCTAACAAACCAATGTATGTTCTTCACTAAAAAAAAAAAAAAGATTTTGTCATTTGGGAGTTGTAGTTGCTGGGATTTATAGTTCACCTACAATCAAAGAGCATTCTGAACCCCACCTACAATGGAATTGAACCAAACTTGGCACACAGTTCTCCCATGACCAATAGAAAATACTGGAAGGGTTTTGTGGGCATGGACCTTGAGTTTGGGAGTTGTAGTTCACCTACATCCAGAGAGCACTGTGGACTCAAACAATGATGGATCTGGACCAAACTTGGCAAGAATCCTCAATTTGCCCAAATGTGAATACTGGTGGGGTTTGGGGAAAATAGACCCTGACATTTGAGAGTTGTAGTTTCTGAGATTTATAGTTCACCTACAATCAAAGAGCATGCTGAACCCCACCAATGACAGAATTGAAGCAAACTTCCCACACACAGCCCTCATACTTAAGGCCATTCAGTCCAACTCCCTTCACCAGGGCAGAAAATGTAATCAAAGCCCTCCTGACAAAGAGCCATCCAGCCATAGATATAGATAGATAGATATGATTCACACACACAAAGATATAGTATCATAGATTTGAAAGGGACCCCTAAAGAAGGACAATTATATGTTGCATGTTCCAGAGTAGACAATCTCCACATCAACACTGACATAGAAACAACAATACTGTTTACCCACAAGCATAAAGGATTTACATATATTAGAAACCATTACTTTATTTTCCAGATTAGCATACTGGGCCACAGCAACGCATGGCAGGGGGTGGCTAGTAAATAAATAAATGAGTATGGAGGGGTGACCCCCAGCTCACTCCAAAGAACAAAATCAATAAAAATTAACGAAGGAAAACCAAGGAGAGTCACAACACACAAAAAACTCTCCAGAAGCTAGTAGAGATGGAAGAGAGGAGCAACCAGCCTTCTCTTCTAAAACAATTTACAATATAAAAGGACTACAATAGCCTAGAACCAAACAAACACAACATTAGTATTTTGAACCTTTCTGATGGAGCAATAATGAAATCGGTTTTTAAATTTTGTATGTATGTTTTAGTAGGGTTTTATGTTTTATGTTGTTTATTTTAATTTGTCTGTATGGTTGTCTTTTTTGGCAATTGAATATTTTGCCTTATACGTTGGAAACTGCCCTGAGTCCCCTGGGGGAGATAGGGTGGTACATAAATACAGTTTTATTTATTTGTTGCTCACAATTCCTTTCCCCTCTTCATTTTCCTGCTTCTTTAGTTGAAATTCTTCTCAGTCTTCTTCTGCTCTTGGCATTTAATAGCAGCTTCTCTGTTTTTGCCTTTCCTCCAAGGAAAACCTGAAATTACTATGTACACCTGAACATAAAACCAGCTTGGAAAGAACCATATGATGCATTTCCTCCACTACTAATTTTCTCCCAAGGCCCGCTTTTTCAATTGTATTAGGCAGAGAGGTACCCAGTACCACCTAACTGCCTCAAATAACTAATTAGTTACATAGTAGTTTATATCCCACCATGATACCATAAAATTTATTTATTTATTTATTTATTTAAAGCATTTATATATTACCCTCCTCACCCCGAAGGGGACTCAGGCCGGAGCACAACATATAAACGGCAAACATTCAATGCCGAAACATATTAGACTATGCACATACAAAAACATTAAAATCACATATCTCGACGTTAAAATCCACTAGTTAAAACTGTCTCAACAACCATATCGAATTTGGTTGGCATACTAAGGGTTCCTATTTCTGCCTCATTGCACAGTCCCAAAGGCTTGGTCCCACAGTCACGTTTTTATCATCCTTCTAAAGGATAAGAGGGAGGGGGCTGACCTGATCTCATTAGGAAGGGAGTTCCATAGCCGAGGGGCAATCACTGAGAAGGCCCTGTCTCTCGTCCCTGTCCAATGCGACTGAGAGCAGGGCCTCCCCAGAAGATCTTAATCTCCGCGGTGGTTCATAGGGGGAGATGCGTTCAAACAGGTAAATTGGGTCAGACCCGTTTAGGACTTCATAGGCCAAAGCCAGCACTTTGAATTGTGCCCGGTAGCAAACTGGCAGCCAGTGGAGCTGGCGTAACATGGGAGTTGTATGTTCTCTGTATGCCGCTCCAGTTATTAACCTGCTCTTGTTGGCAAACAATTTTTAAGAAATACAATTAAACATCTTAACAGTTTAAAAAAATATATGAGGATGCATTGTGAAAGAAAAGTAAAATATCATTAGAATAACAAGACTAGTAAAAAATTAATCTAAACAAAATTTTACTTAACTATTGGCACAAACAAAAGGAGAGAGTTCTATAGATTGTAGTGAGCCCCCTCTCTAAGTTTTGACCAGGGCTCAGGGCAGTTCCTGACTTTCTCCTACCCATGCTTATTATGGGATTCTGGGAACTATAATCCAAAAGAAGAAACTTTTCCAAACAGACCAACCATCCGGGAAACAGAGAAAAACCTCTTTGGGGTACAGGAAGTCATAGGTACCTAAAATGTGCATGATAAAGCTGCTAGCAAAGGGGATTGATGGTGCTACCAACAGTGGAACTAGATGTTGGATTATATGCTTTGCAACACTCATAGCTTAGATTTAACCTGTTGTTGTTTGTATTGCATTTTCTTTGATGCAAACACATGAATATTTTCTTTGTTTAAAGAGGTTAAAAAGCCTCTTTGGCTCCTTGCTAATTAGATGGAAGTGTTCTAATCTTTTCACACGTGGTATTTGTGACAAAAATGCTAGATAATCTGGTTGGCACAGCTTTCCATGAGAGCTATGTGCATCAAAACTGAGAACAATTGAAAATTTGTTAAGAGCTTACAATAATAAGGATATTTTGCAATTCTGTAACCCAGTTTGGACATTGCTGTGACTATCGTGGACAAGCCAGTATTTGTTTGCTGACTGATTGCTCCTGCTGCAATCAGAAAAGGTTAAACAACTCATGGGCTTTTCCAACCATTATTTGTTTACTACGAAATTCAAAGCCAGCAGGATCAAGCACTCTGGTTTGCATCTTCTTCAGAGAGCTAGAGAAACACACTGAAAACCAGCTGGGTTATTTTTCTTGAATGACAAGCCAGACTGCTGTTACCTGTTGGTTGTAGATATCAATAAACCTTAGAGAGAAGGATCATTTTCATCTCCCCATCTTCACCACCAGAAATGTAGTTAGTTCCTATTAAAATTAACACATCTATATAAATAAAAATGTAATGTTCGTTTGTAGTATTCACAGAACTCAAAAACCACTGGGGGAATTGACACCAAATTTGGACACAAGATACCTAACAACCCAATCTATGTCCTTCACTCAAAAAATGGATTTTGTCATTTGGGAGTTGTAGTTGCTGGGATATATAGTTCACCTACAATCAAAGAACATTCTGAACTCAACCAATGATGGAATTGAATCAAACTTGGCACACAGGACTCCCATGACCAACAGAAAACACTAGAAGGGTTTGGTGGGCATTGATGTTGAGTTTGGGAGTTGTAGTTCACCTACATCCAGAGAACACTGTGGACACAAACAATGATGGATCTGGACCAAACTCTACATGAATACTCAATATGCCCAAATGTGAACACTGGTGGAGTTTGGGGAAAATAGAATCTTGACATTTGGGAGTTGCAGTTCCTGGGATTTATAGTTCATCTAGAATCACAGAGCATTCTGAATCCCACCAATGATAGAATTGGGCCCAACATCCCACACAGAACCCCCATTACCACCAAAGTGGGCCACAGCAATGCGTGGCAGGGGATGGCTAGTTTGAAATAAAAAGTCTTTACTTGTTCATCATTGAAAACAAACTAGAAAACGAAAGCTTTGTTGTTTCTAAAATTGAAATATTATAAGCTCCTGGCCAAAGGCAGTGAGGCTATCTATAGAATGAACCCCCTTTTGTAATTTTGGAAATAATTGTATACGTTATAGATACACTGTAACAGAAGTAAAATAATCCATTATACTACCATTATAAAGTCATTTAGGGCGTATCTACACTGTAGAGTTGATGCAGTTTGATACCATTTTAACTCACATGGCTCAGTGCTGTGCAATCCTGGGAGTTATAGTTAGGTGAGGTGCTAGCATTATTTGGCAGACAAGGCTAAAGACCTTGTAAAACTACATGATTCCATAGCATTGAACCACAGCAGTTAAAGTGGTGTCAAGCTGGATTATTTCTATAGTGTAGATGAACCCTTAGTTATGTCTTTGTTATTGAAAAATGAAATAAATAAAAATAGCTCATTTGAAACTAGACATATGAATATACCATATATTGTGTTTTAGTTACTTTCCATTTTACTCTCCTCTCTGTCTCACTGGGAATTATTAATGATGAGTTTGTATTTCTGAGATTGCTGATACTGACATACCCACATTGCAGTGCAACCATGCATATGAAAAGCAAGTGCAAATCACAGTTAGAATCTCTAGACTTAGCAACTAAGGATTTTAATCTCTAAAACATGTATTGAAATAATATTAAAGCCTTTGACAACACAATATTAACTTGGATGTATATCTTTAGTATCTCGATCTGGCAAAGCTCACAGTTTTATGGAGTTAGGTTTTTTTAATCAATATTGCTGTCTGTTACAAATTATGAATACTGCATATCCATTTTCTCCCTCCTACCTACAGGTTTCCATATTAGCAGCAGAGGAGCAACCCACAGTTCAAAAACAAGATTCTGTCCAAGGGTGAGTCTACTCCAAGAGTAATTAATTCATTGTTGTATTTGGGCTCGGCCTCTTGTAAGCCGCACCGAGTCCTTTGGGAGATGGCAGTGGGGTACAAATAAAGGATTATTATTATTATTATTATTATTATTATTATTATTATTATTATCCCACAGTTGTTGTGTGCCTTCAAGTCATTTATGACTTGTGGCAACCTTAAGGGGAACCTTCCATAGGGTTTTCTAGGGCAGAAAGTGTGTGATTCCCAAAGGTCACACAATGGTTTCCAAAGTCTCGACCCACTATACCACACTGGCTCTCGAAAGTGGGATTTTTTTTGCTCTAATTGTTTTCAACTACAACTTGTACAGTCCTTTGACATTGATTATGTCGGTTGGTGGTTCTAGGAGTTGGAAGTGCTAAATATCTGAAAGGCCAAAGCTCTCTCATTACTGGCATAGGGCATAATAGGTGAATATCCATGAATGAGTCAATTTTCACTATCCAGGCAAGAGTGATATTGAACTAAAATTTCATATTAGTCGTCATCTCAATTTGCTTCAGTTCTTCATTTTGCCACACTAAGAAAACCCTTTGATTTCTCTGTTTTTTCTTCACTTAATCTTCTTTGTTCCTTTTCCTTTTCCAATTCCTTACCCTTATAATTAAAAAAGAGCCTGTAGCCTTCTGTTTCCCCCTGTAGCTTTCCCTTCAGTTTTCCTCTGCCCTTTTAATTTTATTTGCAAATGTTCCCTAATGTGCCCTTTAATATGAAAGCAAACGAAAATAAATTAAAACAAGTTATGCTTCTCGGAACTCTCCTGCATACTTCTGGTGGGTTTTTTGGTCGTGTCAGGAGCGACTTGAGAAACTGCAAGTCACTTCTGGTGTGAGAGAATTGGCCGTCTGCAAGGACGTTGCCCAGGGGACGCCCAGATGATTTTATGTTTTTTATCATCCTTGTGGGAGGCTTCTCTCATGTCCCCGCATGAGGAGCTGGAGCTGGTAGAGGGAGCTCATTCGCCTCTGCCTGGATTTGAACCTGCAACCTGTCGGTCTTCAGTCGTTGGCACAGAGGTTTAACCCACTGCGCCACTGGGGGCACAGTCTGGTGGGTGTGTGGTCTTATCTGCCTCCCCTGGAAGTGCACCCAAGAGCATTCACTCATCACAATGACTGCTTCCTCCAGAGCCACCTATGTGACAAAGCTGTTGATGCAGTTCAGATTGAAATAGATCCTTCCTGTGCATCCAACCATGAAACTTCTAGGATTGTGGAGATCACTTCTTTTTAAGTAAAAAGACTTTAGTCTCCAACGGGGCTAGTGACGATGAACACTGAAAAGGGGGCTTAGTGGAAGAGGTGGAGACCAATCCTAACAAAGCCCATTGTCCTTCAAGTCCACAATACCTGCCATCACAGTTGTGACCTCAGTTACTTCTGTCACACTTCCAAACGAGCATGCGGCAACATTTCACAGTGGCCATTTTGAAGCCTGTGTTTCAAGATGGTGGTCATTTTGTATAAGTTAAAATCTCTCTTGCTCCAGTGCTTACTTCACCACCACCCCCTCCCACAGAGGAGATTCACCAGCAAGCATGCTATGCCTGCATGGCTAGTGCAGACTATAGTAGCTAAGAACTTCTCATTCTCCCTTTCTTCTTTTCTTTTTTCTCTCTCCCCACCCCCAATTTTATGCAATAGGTAGATGTTTATTATTCTACAGTATTATTCTATATTGTATAATTGTAATGAATTTTTTTCATGAGTTCACAAAAATAGCTCAATAATACATAATATAAGGATAAGCATATGAGTCTCTAAATGTTAAGGATAACTTAACTTTTGTTTAAGAGATGTGATCGTCATTAAGAAATGAAGATTATTTCTTAAATGTGATTATTTACACTTTACCTATTCAATTATTAAAAGTAGTTTTAACTGGTCTTCCTTGTAGGAAACCAGAATGATCTATGACAGGGGTCCTCAAACTCTTTAAACAGAGGACCAGGTCACAGTCCCTCAAACTGTTGGAGGGCCGGATTATAATTTGAAAAAAACATGAATGAATTCCTATGCACACTGCATATATCTTATCTGTAGTGCAAAAGACACTTAAAACAATATCATTAAAATGAAGAACAATTTTAACAAATATAAACTTATTAGTATTTCAATAGTAAGTGTGGGCCTGTTTTTGGCTGATGAGATAGGATTGCTGTTGATGTTGTAAGCTTTCAAGTTGTTTCAGACTTAGGTTGACCCTGAGTGAGGGCCAGGTAAATGACCTTGGAGGGCCGTATTCGGCCCCCGGGCTTTAGTTTGAGGACCCCTGATCTATGATATGCCTCCCCCTCCCCCCAAATATAGGCACACTATAACATAGTAAAGCAACACAGCTTCAAGACAAATGAAGCATATCTCTTCCCATTTGTTTGGAAAGGGATCACTTTTTTCCCACTTCCACTAAGAAAAGTCTCTATATATTCTCTTGAAAATGCTTATTATTTTCCCCATTTCTTTAGATTAATCCCTGACCAAACCACCCAGAAGGAAGGTGCTTGTGATCTTCCAAGTGGAAATGGCAAACAAGACAAGAGCAAACAAAGGAGGACTTCCTGTGCCCGATCAGAGAAGGGAACCAAATTTCAGCTCACTGTGTTGAAGGTTTGTACAGTACAAAGCTAAGACTAATCTATTTGCTGTTCTAGAATAGAAAACAACAAACCATCAATCTGAGGAAATGATTTTGTTTGGTTTGGGCCTGAACAGAACCCATCTTAGAGGTTATTTACTTAAGATAGAACTTCTTTTATATTCCTACTTGTGACTCACAGATTGATACTCGTAACATGTGGAACACTAATGTCAGTGTAAATTTTGTAACAATACTGTTTCTTTGGTTAATGTATGTTAAGTGACCTTGAGTGTTCTTATTCACAAAGATTTCAGATTTTTTGTGTATGACTTAAATGCAGTCGATAATGCAAGCTGCTCAGAAAGGAGTCATCTGGGGTTTTTTTTTCCTCCTGGGGAAAAGCTTCTTGTCAGTGGGAAAGGGAGATTTGCAATTTTCAGTGATTCCCTCTTTACCTTGTGTTTTCTCTCATAGCTCTACTTGAACAGAGTGTGAGAACTTCAAAGCAGAGGGGAAGTCACTGAAAATTATGCAGGATTGTGCAAAGTATGGCCTTACATATGTTGTTGGACTCAAAGTCCTGAAATTGCCCTGTCTTAGCGGAATCAGTTGAAACAGTAAACTGCTTGAATTCCTTTATCCTAGATTTTGAACAGTGCTGGGATATGGAAAAACAGAAAATAAAATTGGGTTGTTGTAGGTTTTTTCGGGCTATATAGCCATGTTCTAGAGGTATTCTCTCCTGACGTTTCGCTTGCATCTATGGCAAGCATCCTCAGAGGTAGTGAGGTCTGTTGGAACTAGGACAATTGGTTTATATACTTGTGGAATGACCAGGGTGGGACAAAGAACTCTTGTCTGTTGGTGCCAGATGTGCATGTTTCAACTGACCACCTTGATTAGCATTTGATGGCCTGGCAGTGCCTGGGGCAATCTTTTGTTGAGATATGATTAGATATATAGCCGGAAAAAAACCTATAACAACCCAGTGATTCCGGCCATGAAAGCCTTTGACAATACAGAAAATAAAATTGTTCTTCAAGAAAATCTTTTTTACCTTTTATACCTACAGCCCTTTAACATATGAGTAGATTAGTGTGCCTCCTCTGAATAAATCATGCCAAGAAAACTTGGTGAGAAGGTTATCCTGAGATGGGATTGATTTGAAGGTACATAATGACAAAAGAGCAAAAAGTGTATAACCTTATAAGGACAAAGGGATTAATATGGTGCTTGTTGGCTATTTGTGTTCTTTTATGGGACTATCAAGTAGAGGTGACCTTTGTTTGCTAATAAATTGGTACAATCTCATGACACAGTGACTTCTTATTTTCTTAACCAGGTGTCAACATCAGGAGACAATACTGTGGAGTGCCAACTTGAGACTCATAACAATAAGATGGTCACATTTAAATTTGATGTTGATGGAGATGCTCCAGAAGACATCGCTGATTACATGGCAAGTTCCTTAGTCCCTGTTTCTCAGTAGATACTCTGTTATTAATTATAGTTCAGCTTCCTTCTGAAGGAGAGGAGGGATGTTCATGACCTAATTTCCCCGGGGACTGAATTCCACAGGTGAGGGGCCACCACTGAGAAGGCCCTGTCTCTCGTCCCCACCAGCCTCACTTGTGATAGAGGCGGGGCCGAGAGCAGGGCCTCCCCTGAAGATCTTTAACTCCGAGGTGGGACATAGAAGGAGATACATTCAGACAGGTACGCTGGGCTGGAGCCGTATGTTCCCCTTTTGCTCAATGAGAGAGAGAGAGAGGAGGATGACTGGCCTGGCAGCAGAAGGAAGGGTGGGGGGTGGCATTGGTTTATCTCTGGAAGAGAGAAATCTCCTCATTTCTTAGTCCTAATAAGTATGTATGTGGGCATATTTGAAATGATTTACTCAATTTCTTTGGGTTTCCTCATGATTCCTTTAGGTAGTTCCATTTTGGCAGGTTGTCTTTTGATCTGCCCACTCCACTTTTGAGTCTGTTCAGGAACTTCCAAGTTGACCATTCTTAGTTTACCCCTGGAGGCAGACCCTTGTGAGGGCCATCCAGTTGGGATTTCCTGGTTTAGCTGCCCAGAGGGATACTCTTACTGTTGCTGGGGGAACATTGAGAGGATTGGTGGGATTCATGAAGCTTTTCCTTGATTTGAGTCTGCTGGGAGGAGGGTGTTCAACCTTATAGTAATATAAGTAATTCAACCTTATGGAATTTCAGTAATTTGGCTATATAGGCATTTTCTTGCTATCAAAACATATTACTTTTTTGAAAAGCTAAAATTTCCCATATTGTACAAAATGTGATGGAAGATTATATTCTCTGTATCATGAGTGAATTTTAACAAAAAAGAGAAATAAAATGTTGTTTGGGTTGAAATTGCTTCTTTTTCTATGTTTTCTCTTATTTGGGGTTATTTTTCTTTCACTAGTGTTTTGTAATTATTGTGCATTCTTCAAATTGTGTCTATGATTTGTGTGGGTATGTAAGTGATACGTGTATTTTTATTTCTCTCTTTGTGTTAAAATTTGATAAGATAAATAGAACATGGTGAGAGGAAAGGGCGTTAAAAGGAGACCTTCAGTAACAATTTCAGTCCTGTTTTTTCACCTTTGCTGCTTATTAGGTTGAAGATGATTTTGTGTTGGAAAGTGAAAAGGAGAAATTTGTTGATGAATTGAGGACTATTGTTTGCCAAGCCCAGGAAATCATTCGCAGCATTCCTATTGAAGATCGCACCTCTGTTTTAGACTCAGTTCCCTCGGATCCAGCCAATAGTCAAGTAAGCTCTGTTTGTTTAGTAAAGTCAGTTTTCTGGCAAAGTGTGTGCTTGAATTGGGAAAGTCCCTTTTTATATTTATCTATTCATTTTTAATTCAGACAGGATCTTCTGAACAAGTTCAGATAAACCCAGCATCTACTCAAACTGGCAGTAAGTAACTATTTTAAAACATTTAACATTGAAGGACAAAAGAAGGTCCCCAAACAAAACCACCCTCCTTTAAAGGTGAAAGTGATGGAAATAGCTTTGGCAAAGACTAAAGCAAATTTTCTTTTTGACACTTACATTGCCTATTGCATTTTTAATCTCCACATGGTAGTTAATTATTTAAATGATACCCTTTTGTGTGCATTTTGCATCATATGCTCGACTCTGGAGAGGTCTTGATAACTATGATGGAAGGATCTGAAGATCTGAGGGGTGTTATCCCATACCAAAGGCTATTATCATCAGTGATGAACTCTTAATAAACCTTGTTTATTTATTTATTTATCTGCAGTATTTGTATACTGTCCTTCTCAACCCCAAAGGGGGCTCAGTGTTGGCAACGATTCAAAGCCTTCAATAAAAAACAGTATAAAACATCAAAATTGACCCTCCCCTGATAAAACATTAAACATTATTAAACACATCACATACAATAACATCACATACCACACAAAACATAGCCATAGGTATTGCTAATAAGTGTCGCCAACTCTTGGGCTGTTAGTGTGGTGAACAGAGCAAAAAAGACTTATTCTGTTTTTCCTTTAGAATTAAGATTTTTTTCATTCCATCGGTAGTAATTGAAGATTTATCCTGAAGGATGTTCTTCTGAACTTCTTTACTTGTCATCAGTGCTGAGGCATCAAGTAATGATAGATCTACCCAATTCACCTTTATCTCTGTGTTAAGCTACAAAAAGATAACCTGGATGGTGGATGGATGGCGTTGTCAGTTGAAAAATTGTGCTTGCACATTTAAATTGCTGTTATCCCATGCAAGAAATGGAGAAGTAATAGTAATAGTTGAGTGAGATTCTTTGCTGTGTTTTGTCTAAACAGAAGGTGATATCATAACAAAGGCATCGGATACCATGATGGACTACTTTTCCATAATTTTGTTTTGCCAAGTGTTTGATTTGTAGTACTGGGTGATTTGTACTTTTTAACAGAGCAATGCCAGTCTTACTTTCTTTCTCAGATTAGATACCATCTGTTATTTATATATTTTAATTTCTATCCATGCAAATAAACAAGTACTAATGTCACTGGAAAACTGGAATGGTTAAGACATTGGTCAAGATTCAAATAATCCCATCTCTAGGTTTTTCCCCCACTTATTTAAGGGGCTTTTTGGAAGTATTTGTGTAATGGGAGAAAACTGTTTTGGCTTTTCTTTAACAAGTGACAGTCAAATTCTGTAATGTAATAGGTTTCTTTTCCATGCATCATGACGTTGCTGATAATATATGGAGTTTTCAAAATACTGTGATAAAAGCAAACACTCAACTTAAACCATGGGGTGGGGTTGTGGTATTATTATTATTATTATTATTATTATTATTATTATTATTAACTTTATTTATTCCCTACCTTTCTCCCAGAGGCAGCTCAAGGTGTCTAACAGATACACACTTTAATCAAGTTAAAACAAAGCATTTTTTTAGAAAATTAAAAATTTGTGTTAGGTTAAAAAATATTGTATCCAAACCATGCAATACAATGGAGAGTTAGAAAATAGCCAGGTATATGCTATTCCTTGTAAGATAAGCATGTTAATACCTATGTATTTGGTTAGAGAGTGGGTCTGTTAACAGCAAGATAACTTCTTTTTGTTGCCAGTTGAAGACAGACTCCGAGATTTTCCTTGCCCCCCCTTTTTTGGGGGGGGGAATCAGTTATATATAGTTAACTTTATAAAGCAAACTGAGTTCTATATGACAGAAACAAAGGTGGGTAATGCTACTATATTTGACAAGATAGAAATTTTGGGTTGTGCATGATGTTATTTAATGGAAATTTTGATCTGACTTTTCCTGCTGTTTGGTTTGGATTTCCTCATTTACAGCCTAGAATCATGGGTTAATTTCTAGTACACTGGCACCGCTCTTGATTGTTTCAGCTGAAGAGAGAAATAGTATAGTGCTGGAATGTTCCTGCTGATATAGGAACAATATGGCATATAGCAGCCTGCACCTAGACACTCGGTACCTGCCTGATCCTGATGTCAGGCAGATTGCATGGCATTATGCAGACCCCACAGGATTGATGGTGGAGACATGGTCTAGCATGCATACATTCTCAGGCAGCTTTGCCAGTGAGCTTCCCTAAGAGAAGAAGAAAGGATAGAATTGAAGCAAAGCAAAGTCAGAATGCTTTCCCTAACAGCAAATACACTACAAATACATTTTCCTCTATTTGTGCACCAGTCGTCTCCAGGAAAATGGAGAAAGTGGATCCACATATGGGTATTGCATTTGCTCCTGGTGGGGTACGTTAGGAAGAAAAATGCTTGAAAAGGAAATGCATCATTTTGTCCATCTCCATGAATAAACATGTGTTGTGGAAGAAGGATCTCCCCCGCTTTGCCTTAACAAGAGAGGAGATTCCATCTGAACATTAGGAAGAACTTCCTGACTGTGAGAGCCGTTCAGCAGTGGAACTCTCTGCCCCGGAGTGTGGTGGAGGCTCCTTCTTTGGAAGCTTTTAAGCAGAGGCTGGATGGCCATTTGTCAGGGGTAATTTGAATGCAATATTCCTGCTTCTTGGCAGGGGGTTGGACTGGATGGCCCATGAGGTCTCTTCCAACTCTTTGATTCTATGATTCTATGAACAGATGCTTAGGTAGAGCCAGCACATGCTGCTTTAAGAATATGCACTGAAATAAGGAAGAAATTGAAATATCACGTAAGAGAACCTGTCCTTCCAAGAATGGCTCCATAACAGAGTGACTTTAGCACAACCTACTACTGATTCCCTTGAAAAAAGGCAAACTTCCTCTGAATGAATCTTGGCAAGAAAACCCTGTAACTTGAAGGCACACAACATTTTTTTTCCAGTATGACTTATATTGTTCTTACTGTATATGTGGGGATCGCAGCCTTAGACCAACACCAGAATTTTGACCAGTGGACCACACTGCTTCTTCTAATACTGCTCCTGGCTGTTTCTGTAGTCGTGTTTCTATATGATTTCCTTCCCCCCTTTTGTTACACACTTCAGAGGTGGTAGACCATCGATGATCCCATAAGACAGTTATTCCCCTCTCTCTTTCTTCTTTCCTCCCCACTCTCTTTCCCTCCAGGTGACTCTGCTCCCCAATCATCCCCTGTTGGCCGCTGGAGATTTTGCATCAATCAGACAATAAGGAACAGAGACTCCCAAGCACCCTATACTCTTTTGCAGTCAACAACAACTGCCCCGGGATGTCAGATGACAGGTGAGCATATGATGATTTTGAAAGTGTGGCTCATTTCTGACTCCTTGTTTGAGTAGGACTTTTAAAATCAGAACTTGAAATGTATGTTTGTTTGATTCTTTGTTAATTACAATCCCCAAAATCCATTTTCTTGCTAGCTGCTGCAGGCTAGAGTTCATAAAATGCCTTGGTAAGCTGTTGGTTTAGAACTGATTTTCTAAACATTGATTTTAGGCTCTTCGTCAGAAAAAGTGAGAACAGCTTTATTTTTCTAAAGCAGAGTATCACAGTACAGGCAGTCCCCAAGTTCTGTAGGTGTGCTCTTAAACTGAATGTGTACTTTTTTTTTCAGTGTAACTCCAGCCAAACATATATATTAGGTTTGGATGGCATAGGGAAGGGCTAACACCCCTGTTGTGTTTGTTTTGCTGTCTGTGTCCCTATTCAGAAGATTTCACCTCACTTTCCGTTCCTGTGATTATTGGATTTTGAAAAAAATGGCTTGTTTTGAAAACAAGGATTGGTGATAAAGGTTCAATGGAGACACCTTTTCCCCATGATAACTCTTTCAGTAGTGAATTTCACTTCCTAGGTGGAAATTTCTCTCACTTCCTGTTGTCTTGCCTCCATTATTCATTGAGTTGTTTGCAAGTTGGGTGTTTGTAGCTCTGGGATTGCCTGTACATGTTTTAATGCCGTTGAAAGGAACATCTGGCTTCTGAAGTCTTCCTCACCCCACTCCTTTCCACAGTTCCTTTCCCAGTTTAGGCAAGTGTTTATTTTCTGTCTTTAGGGACAGCCACTCTCTTTTGAGTGGGTTGCCAGGGATTGTAAATGTACACACTTCTGCAGTTGCATTAGCATTTCAATTGCAATGAGATCTAACAAAAAGCAAAATCTAAGGGCCCTATTGTGCCAAATGGACTGAATGCAGTATGGTGGGGAAGGCAGATAATGTTATGGGCTAGGGCTTTGGTTTTTTCTCATTTGTTATTCCTTGGTTTTAATTTAATCATGAATTATATGTTCCTTTCAAGCCATTCGTCACACACTGTTAAAATACTGCTTTTGGTACCTTCAACAAATTTTGGGCATTTTAAATATAGAAATGCAAGTTACCCACAGTCGTGGTAAAAATCTGTTCTGTACCAACCATGGTAACATTACCAAACCCACCTCCTTCAGACTAAAAGTACTGACAGGTTTGGTATGTCCTGTTGCTAACAATAGTGTGTATTCTATTTTTTTCAAAGAAGAGTTAGATTAGTTTAGTTTAGATAAGTACAAGAAATAATGTATGGAAATCGCTGTAATTGTCTCTTTGTAGTATATGTGTGATTTAAGACTTAATACTTTAAAAAAAAATCCCTCCGTCTTTATATACATTGTGTATTTTTGCCACATTTGTTCTATTGCCTAATATTATTAGAGTGGGAAGGAGAATCTAAAAGGTGATATAGTAATAACAATAGGAAATGTCTAACACTGTGGTGGTAAACCTTATAATGTTATATTGTATTTTGTTGCCATTACAATGCTAGCTTTTCCTTTTAGGCTAGACCCATATATCTCTCTGGATTTGTCTTTCTGTGAGGTCATTTGGCCTTTTCTACTACAAATGTTTTAGGGATGGCTTCCTGGGGTATGTCTAAACTTTAGAAACTAAAGGTTAAAATAGACCAGCTATTACACAATCCCAAGCCACTTCAGATATCTGCGTCACCCCTACAGTTTACCCCAATTGCCTCCAGATATGCAGTTCTCAGCTGCGTTGCTTTATGAAGGAAAAGGGCTGTTTGGTGTGTTATCTTAGCATTCTGGCCAGCCATTAAGAATGTAGTTTTGATATGGGGATCCCAGTGAGTCTTCTGTATAATGAATTGTCCGAGGTATTGATTTCTCTCTTTGTTGTACAAAATACAACTAAACAGTATATGTGTAATATCCTCTACCTCTGTCGCCCCACAGATACAGAAACGTTTGTTATATGGAACTTGGTTAAACCTTCCATGTTTATTTATTTTATTTATTTCATTTACTTATACCCCGCCCTCTCACCCCGGGGGGGACTCAGGGCGGCTTACAGTGGGGCACAATTAGATGCCCAAAACAATACACAAGCAATATGAAACAATCAACAATTAATTAAAACAACAGTACATATTAAAACAATAAAAACAATCTCATGCTCAGGGTTTCAGTGTCACCATATTCATTCCATTTCATTAGTCCTTGCTTATCCTCAGATCCATAGCTATCACCGACCAAAAGCTTGTTCCCAGATCCAGGTCTTTAGTTTTTTCCTAAATACTAGGAGGGAGGATGACAGCCTAATCTCCCCGGGGAGCGCGTTCCACAGGTGGGGGGCCACCACTGAGAAGGCCCTGCTCCTCGTCCCCGCCAGCCTCACTTGTGACGCTGGCGGGGCCGAGAGCAGGGCCTCCCCAGACGATCTTAAACTTCGAGGTGGGACGTAGAGAGAGATCCGTTCGGACAAATACACTGGGCCGGAACCGTATAGGGTTTTAAAGGTCAAGACCAGCACTTTGAATTGTGCTCGGAATTGGATCGGCAGCCAGTGGAGCTGACGCAGTAGGGGGGTTGTATGCTCCCTATACGTCGCACCGATGAGCAATCTGGCTGCTTCTCGTTGGACTAGTTGTAATTTCCGAGCAGTTTTCAAAGGCAACCCCACGTAGAGTGCGTTGCAGTAATCCAGCCGGGATGTGACAAGAGCATGGACCACCGTGGCCAGATCTGACTTCTCAAGGTACGGGCGCAGCTGGCGCACCAGTTTTAGTTGTGCGAAAGCTCTCCCGGCCACCGCTGAGACCTGGGGTTCCAGGCTCAGCGATGAGTCCAGGATCACTCCCAAGCTGCGAACCTGAGTCTTCAGGGGGAGTGTAACCCCGTCTAACACAGGCTGTAACCCTATACCCTGTTCGGCCTTGCGACTGACCAGTAGGACCTCTGTCTTGTCTGGATTCAATTTCAATTTGTTAGCTCTCATCCAGTCCGACACAGCAGCTAAACACCGGTTCAAGGCCTGGACCGCCTCCTTGGTGACAGGAGGAAAGGAGTGACAGATTTGGACATCATCTGCATAGAGATAACATCGCATTCCGAAACTCCGAATGATCTCTCCCAACGGCTTCATGTAGATGTTAAATAACATCGGGGACAGAATTGAACCCTGTGGGACTCCACACAACAACGGTTGTGGGGCCGAACAGGTGTCACCCAATAACACCTTCTGGGTCCATCCCTCAAGGAAGGATCGGAGCCACTGCAAAGCAGTGCCCCCGAGCCCCATATCCATGAGGCGACCCAGAAGGATACCGTGATCGACGGTATCGAAGGCCGCTGAGAGGTCCAGCAGAACTAACAGGGACACACTCCCCCTGTCTAGTTCCCTGCGCAGATCATCTACCAAGGCGACCAAGGCTGTCTCAGTTCCATGTCCCGGCCTAAAGCCAGACTGTGCCGGATCCAGATAATCAGTGTCTACCAGAAACCCCTGGAGTTGTGTTGCCACCACACGTTCCATGACTTTGCCCAAATAGGGAAGATTGGAAACTGGCCGATAGTTGTCGAATTGAGTGGGATCCAGTGATGGTTTCTTCAACAGCGGTTTTATAACAGCCTGTTTTAGGCTCGCTGGAAATTTTCCTTCCTGTAAGGAGGCATTAACCATCACCTTCACCCACTCCGCCAAACCCCCTCTGGCTTCCTTAATCAGCCAGGATGGGCAGGGGTCTAGGATGCATGTGGTGGGTCGCACCTCTCCAAGGATCCTGTCCACATCCTCAAGCTGAACCAATTGAAAAGAATCCAACAAAACTGGACAAGCAGACGCTCTCGTCACATCCCCGGAGACTGCCGTTAACATGACGTCAAAACCCGACCTAATCCGCTCAATTTTATCCGCGAAGGATCGAGCAAATGCTTCACAGAGAGCCACCGAGTTGTCTGAGGCCTCGATTTTTGATGGATTTAACAGGCCCCTGACAACTCGGAAGAGCTCCGCTGGACGATTCTTCGCAGATGCAATATTGGCTGTGATGAATACTTTCTGAGCTGCCGTTATTGCCACACCGTAGGACCTTAACAAGGCATTCAGGTGTGTTTGGGCTAGATTGGTGGGGTTCTTACGCCACACGCACTCTAGCCTCCTCTTCTTTCGCTTCATCGCTGCCAGCTCCTCGGTAAACCAAGAAGCTGGTTTAGCTCGGTTACTCGAGAGGGGGCGTTCCGGAGCGATAGTGTCAATTGCCCTGGTCAACTCATTATTCCAACGAGACTAGGGTGTCGACAGTGTCGCTAGCCAAGGAGGTGGAAAAGTCCCCAAGAGCCGTCAGGAGTCCATTTGGATCCATGAGTCTCCTGGGGCGGACCATTCTAATGGGTCCACCACCCCTGCGGAGGTTTGGAGGCCCAGTTAGTCTAAAGCTGATCAAGTAGTGATCGGTCCATGGCAACGGAGCGATAGTCGGCTCCTCCATCCCGTCACCTTCATCCCATCCCTGAGCAAAAACCAGATCTAGAGTGTGCCCGGCACTATGGGTGGGACCCGATATTAATTGGGACAGGCCCATGGTTGCCATGGCGGCCATGAAGTCCTGAGCCGCGCCAGAAAGAGGGGCCTCGGCATGGACGTTGAAATCTCCCAAGACCAGGAGCCGTTGGAAGCTCAACGCCATGTCCGAGACCACTCCCGCTAGCTCAGGTAGGGAGACTGTAGTGCAGCGGGGTGGTCGGTACACTAACAGAATCCCTATCCTGTCCCGGTCACCTATCCTAAAGCCGGCACATTCAAAGGAGGATGACTGTGGGATGGGATACCTGATCAGTGGAATAAAATCCTTATAGACCACTGCGACTCCGCCTCCCCGCCCTCCAAGCCTTGGTTGGTGCTGGACGGAGTAACCTGGTGGGCAGAGTTGGGAGAGATTGACCCCTCCCCCCTCGTCCAACCAGGTCTCCGTTATACATGCCAGGTCAGCTCTTTCCTCTTGGATTAGATCTTGAATGATAGAGGTTTTTCCATTTACCGACCTGGCATTGACCAGCACCACCTTCAGCTTGGAGGGTCCACCATCCTGGCACCTCAGTTGTATATTGTCAGGAGTAAATTTTGGAATTGCCGAATTATCCTTGTTCTTTTCGGGCCGAATAGTAGCATTAATTTTTGGAATTGTCAATGTCCTATTCAGAATTTTGGGTTGAATTTGTTTTTGCCTTTGATTTTTTGAATGAATACCTTCCTTAGATGTTTAGGCATTTCTGTCTTTAGGTATTCGGCTGTTTGAAAAGTATGTTTGAAGCGACTTAACCAAATAAAATAAAAACAAAAACCATGAATAAAAATTGTTAAAGATTATTTGAGAAAATATTGTAATCAAATCAATGACTAATATGCAACCGTCAAACCTGGAAATGTAGAGGGCTGACTGTAATCCAAAAATATTTGTTTTTGCTTCTAGACACACTGCAGCATCTGGAATCTTATATCTTATCTCACCAATTAATTATTTATGTTTCCAGATCATTTAAAGGAAAATACCAAAGAAGAGAGCCCTCAAGATTATTCAAAGACTGTGGAAGATCTTAACAACCAGCAAAGGCCTACTCCTTCTTCTGGCTCAAATGTCCTGAGGAGTGACAGCATGATATCTGAGCCCCAAATCTTGAAAAGTGAGCAATCAGCTTGTCCTCACCAAGTGGAAGTCAGCATGGATACCCTGCTGTCTGCCACTGCTGGTGACAACAACAATGCCCTTGCTCGTGATTCTGCATCCTGGGTTGAGTCTTCGGGGACAGAGACTCAAGGTGATGGACCTTGCCTTTCATCCTTCTCACCCTGTCCAACTGCTGGAACCACTGAGATGAATATGTCTACTGAGACCTTCCTGTCCAGATCAAATGGCTGTAACATCCCAGCCACTGAGGACATGGATAACTCAATAAATTCTGAACAGGTTGGTGCCATGGCTCAGACCCCGGGCCAGGAAGGCCTTTCCTTCGCTTCTGCTCTGGAGTCAGACAGTGAGGGTCCCCCTAAGATGGATTTTGCTGACAACAATATCAAGACTCTGGATGAGAAGCTGCGGACGCTTTTGTACCAGGAGCACAGTTTCTCAGGGACTTCCCCTGAGAGCCAGAAAGACACACAAAGTGCTGTAGAGTCTCCGTTTTCGTCTTCTGCTGAAGATTTCCCCGCCTGCCCAGTATCTGAAGATCCCGATACCAATTCCCCCAAAGAGACCCAGCAAAGCCCCACAGAAGTATCAGATCCTCAAACTATGTGCATCCCATCCACAAGTCATTCAGACAATCTGCCGGTGCTCAGGAGGGAGCCCAGTGCTATCACCTCCGCCCCCAGCGATCTCTGCAAAAACGTGAGTAGTGGCAGGGGAATTAACTGGAGTTGAAAACAGTTTGTTCTGCATCCAGAATTGTATTGGATATCTATGCAAACCTACCTTGCAGTGTAATTGCTCTTGTCAATAACAGGTAAGCATTTCCTGTAGATAAATGATAAGCCAGCATTTTCCTGTTTCCCGTTTGCTAGTTTATTACAGCACAGTTGGAGCCCCCGGTGGCACAGTGGGTTAAACCCTTGTGCCGGCAGGTCTGAAGACCGACAGGTCGCAGGTTCAAATCCGGGGAGAGGCGGATGAGCTCCCTTTATCAACTCCAGCTCCTCATGCGGGGACATGAGAGAAGCCTCCCACAAGGATGATAAAAACATCAAATCATCCGGGTGTCCCCTGGGCAACATCTTTGCAGACGGCCAATTCTCTCACACCAGAAGCGACTTGCAATTTCTCAAGTCGCTCCTGACACGACCAAAAAAAAACAGCACAGTTCTTGACCTGGTGGTGATGCAATCTGAATGGCGTAGAGTAAGAGGTAGATCATCTTTGGCTGAAATGACAGAGACCTGAACTTTAGAAGCTTTGCTTGTGCTAAGGAATTAGAAATCTCTTTCTGAGAGCAAATAATTTCTCTTAAGATAGTCAGATGTCATCTCTTCTGGATTATTTTAATTTGTCAAATGGGTTTGGGTTTTTTTTTTTCAAAATTAGCACTTGGTTGAATTTAGAGGTTTGCACATATCACTTTAAGCAGGCAGGTGGTCTCTGAAATATGTAAGAGCCAAGGTGTATGTGGAATCCAAATGCCCTCTTACTCTAATTGCTGTTTTTCTGCCCACTTCCCCATCTCTTTGTTTTCTTCAGGAGACGTCCCCAGAGGCTTCATTTCCTGAGAACCCTGTGGCTTGTCCTGCTTCAGCATCAAGTGGTGGAGCCGTGCACCTGCATGCAGGAGGTGGATATTTTGGCCTAAGCTTTACTTGCCCTAGTCTCAAAAACCCTATTAGCAAGAAATCCTGGACTCGCAAATTAAAAAGCTGGGCATACAGGCTACGGCAGACCAGCTTTTTCAAGAGATCAAAAGTCCGGCAAGGTAGTGTGCTTACAGTCAGGGATCTAGACTAGGTAACATCTGTTTTAATTTATTTATGTATGATTCTTTTTCTCTCCCTTTCCCTCCTTTTTTGGGGCATTTCCTGCACTACTCCATATCTACCTTTTCCCCACCTTAATCACCTGTGTAACATTCCATCCATTACCACTTTGCTTTCCAGTTTGATTAACCAGTTTTTTCATTCCACATAGAGATGTAGGTCTTGGGAAACCAACCAAAAAAAGCCTACATGTATACTATAATCACGTTTTTAATAAAATGTAGCTTCTTAGTGTCTTTACGGTTCCAACTTTGCCTGACCATGTCCTGTTTCCTTGTGTTCCTTTCTTTTTTAAAAAAAATTAAAAAATCACAACAGATGAGATGGCTGGGGATATTACGCCTGATTGGATTTCTCTCTCTGAGCAAGCAACAGTAGAGGATAAAATGACTGGTCAGTCTAAAACTGTGGCTGGATCGTTCCAACGAGGCCGATTTCAGGTAGGAATAATCTTGTTAGTTAATTCAATTGTGTTCAAATATGCCTTTGTCATGAAGGGGGATTTGTTTTGCTCCTTTCAAAGGCCATACGCTGCTTCCTGTCTACCAGTTCTGAAACAAGTTTCCACAGAATTGTAATATAAACATTGCCCGGACAACTAATGAGAACTGTTATATTTCTGGAAGATATTTGGAAATAGGTGATGAGTAATGGAGAACTACCAATGGCCAGCAAAATTTGAGGAAGTTTTTTTTATTATTTTATTTGGAGTAGTCCTCTCCAGATCCCTTGCTAAATTACTGTATATACTTGAATATAAGCGTAGTTTTTCAGCCCCTTTTTAGGCTGAAAAATCTCCCCTCGGCTTATACTCGAGTCAAGGTTATTTATTCTTTTACTCTGTTATTAGTATTCTTTTATTAAATTTATTATTTTACTCTATTATTATATTTGCATTATTTTGCTCTATTATTATTCTATTTATTATTTTGTTTATTATTAATATTACATTTACTGTATTTTACCCTATTATTATTATTATTATTACAATTATTATTTTAAACTATTTATTATTATTATTATTACATTTACAGTATGTTACCCTATTATAGCCATGTATAAAAATATGTGAAAGGAAGCCACAGGGAGGAGGGAGCAAGCTTGTTTTCTGCTTCCCTGGAGACTAGGACACGAAACAATGGCTTCAAACTACAAGAAAGGAGATTCCATCTGAACATGAGGAAGAACTTCCTGACTGTGAGAGCCGTTCAGCAGTGGAACTCTCTGCCCCGGAGTGTGGTGGAGGCTCCTTCTTTGGAAGCTTTTAACAGAGGCTGGATGGCCATCTGTCAGGGGTGATTTGAATGCAATATTCCTGCTTCTTGGCAGGGGGTTGGACTGGATGGCCCATGAGGTCTCTTCTCACTATATTATTATTATTACATTTACAGTATTTTACCCTATTATTGCTACATTTATTATTTTACTCTATTATTACTGTTTTTATTGCATTTTCATTATTTTACTCTATTTTTATTATATTTATTATTTTAATAATAAGTACATTTACATTGAAGAAGGTTAGAATAATGGTTGAATCAGAGTTGGACAGTCTTATGTTGAATTACAGTTTTATGTAAATATTCATAAACATTTAACCAACTGATTCCTCAATTAATGTATTTTATTGGTATCTATTTTTATTTTGAAATTGACCCATAAATGCTGCATTTCCCACCCTTGGCTTATACTCAAGTCAATACGTTTTCCCAGTTTTTTGTGATAAAATTAGGTGCCTTGGCTTATATTCGGGTCAGCTTATACTTGAGTATATACGGTATTTGGGGATTATAGTCCATAGAGAAACTTTTCTGCAACCATGATGGATTATTTCAAATCACCATGGGTTGCATTTCCTGATTTTCAATTGCTGACTATTTCTTCTCTTTCCATTTCTCTTGAAAAGCCATTTCTCTACATTGGCTTTTCCTGTATTTACCTTTTTTAAAAAATTTCTTGTCTTACAATGTTTCTCTGAGGACAGAACAGAAACAGCAAGAGTTTTTTACAAAAACATGTAAAACAAATGCATGCCTTATAAGTCAATTTTACTGCTATTGGTGTATATTTGGAAAATGTGTTTGAAGATTTGTATCTGGGGAAATTCTCCTAGTTCACTCTCACTTAAGGTAGGCTTTGAGGTACTCGGAAAGGGTGACATTTAACCAGAAATCTGGAGGCTGCCACATCTCAGGGGCTTGTGTTCTGCTGATGGATTTCTTCGATGACTGGTCAGTCATTTTCTTATCTATTGGATATGTGGCACAGCTGAAAATCACTAAGAGAGTTTTCAAATACCGTTTTGTTGTTGCTTTATTTGGCATTTTGAAAGTCATGATTGTATTTCTTGCACGTTTTCCACAGAGTGTTCCCACCACTCATTCACAGGAGAGAGAAAAAAAATGTAGCAGATGTAGCTTCCCAGAGGGGAAAGTATGCAGCTCCCAGTGATTCCAGTTTGGATTTTAAAGATTTCCCATTCCCTGCTTTATACTAGCAGATGTATACACCAGTGATTCGCAGAGTGCCTGATATGGGGGCATAGCAATTATTTTTCACCAGTGTGCCAGGGCTAATTTGTTACTTCCCATGGGGCACAATTGTTTGTTTCATGGCAACATGCAACGATCATTAGCCAATGGCTTAGGAACTGACACCTGTCAAGGAACCACCACTACTAAGAATTAACCTTCTGTGATCCAAACATGTGCCTCAAAGCAATGTGGTGGCAATGTAAATACATAAATGAATTTTGGGGGAAGGTATTTGGAGAGTTGGAAGTTATAATGGATATGAAGATAGGGAAAAGCGCAAGCATTTATTTATTTATTTCGTGTACTTCTACCCCGCCCTTCTCAACCCCCGAGGGGGGGGACTCAGGGTGGCTTACAAAAAGGCACAATTCGATGCCTACACAATAATACAGATAAACGTATAAAAACAGCAATTAAAACAGTTATAACAGTTAAAAACAATCAATATATATCACAGTCAGTAAACCAATCTCAAGTTCCGCGTTCGACAACTCAGAATCCATACTTCATTCTACATTGTCTATTCCTATCCGTTGTCGTAGTCCTGTATTTATCTGCCAGGTTGCCTAAACGCCTGGTCCCAAATCCATGTTTTTAATTTCCTTCTAAAGGAAAGGAGGGATGTCGCTGATCTAACTTCCCCGGGGAGTGAGTTCCACAGGTGAGGGGCCACCACGGAGAAGGCCCTGCTCCTCGTCCCTGCCAGTCTCACTTGTGATAGAGGTGGGGCCGTGAGCAGGGCCTCCCCAGAAGATCTTAAACTCCGAGGTGGGACGTAGAGGGAGTTCCATTCGGACAGATACGCTGGGCCGGAACCGTATAGGGTTTTGTAGGTCAAAACCAGCACTTTGAATTGCATTGTTGTCACTATATAATGTTACGAAATTGAAAAAAACAGAGAAAGATGCAATAGATAACATGTTAACTGCGGCAAGATTATTGATAGCGAAAAATTGGAAAGGTAAAATAAATATATCAATAGAAGAATGGCATAAAGAACTATGTAAAATAGCAATAAACGATAAATTGACATGTAGGTTAAGAGTCAGGATAGGGGTATGGAAAGAAAACGACTTTGATAAAGTTTGGGAGAAATTTATCGAGAATGGCTTAAAAGAAGAAGATGGGTTGTTGTAGGTTTTTCCGGACTATATGGCCATGTTCTGGAGGCATTTTCTCCTGACGTTTCACCTGCATCTATGGCAAGCATCTTCAGAGGTAGTGAGGTCTGTTGGAAGTAGGAAAATGGGTTTATATATCTGTGGAATGACCAGGGTGGGACAAAGGATTTATGTCTGCTGGAGCTAGGTGTGAATGTTTCAACTGACCACCTTGATTAGCATTTCTGTGTTCTCAAATAATATGCTGTGTCCAGGTTGGTTCATCAGGTGCTCTGCTATGGCTGATTTCTCTGGTTGAAGTGGTCTGCAGTGCCTTTCATGTTCCTTGATTCGTGTTTGGGCAATGCTGTGTTTGGTGGTCCCTATGTAGACTTGTCCACAGCTGTCCACAGTTGTGGACCACTCTCACAACCACCATGTCAGACTACACAGAGAAGCCATTGAAATCCACAAGCATGTGGACAATTTCAACAGAAAGGAAGAAACCATGAAAATGAACAAAATCTGGCTACCAGTATTAAAAAAACTCAAAAATTACAACAGCAAAACAACAGAGAGTAAACAATCAGGCACATCAAATCACTCTCAACAAAAGATTCCCCCCAGGCACTTCCAAACCATTAAATGCTAATCAAGGTGGTCAGTTGAAACATTCACACCTAGCTCCAGCAGACATAAGTCCTTTGTCCCACCATGGTCATTCCACAGATAAATAAACCCATTTTCCTACTTCCAACAGACCTCACTACCTCTGAGGATGCTTGCCATAGATGCAGGCGAAACGTCAAGAGAAAATGCCTCCAGAACATGGCCATATAGCCCAGAAAAAACCTACAACAACCCATACATATATATATATATATATAAGATATATATACACTTATAGTTGATGTAATGAATTAAGGATGGAATACAAGAGTATTGAAGGTATTGATGTATTGATGTAGTCTAAGAAAACCTATATATAGAGGGGGGGGGAACAGAACTATTGCATAAACGGAATATATTCATCTTAAAATTGTTTACTTGTTAGTATATTGCGGCTAAGTGAGTAGTTCCAAAATGAAAGTGCGAAAAGGGAGAAAAAGAAGCCCTGTTGGTTAATGGATATGTGTCTATAGGGCCTGTATGCTGTGTCTTCCTTTCACTCTAGTTTGGCCGAATGGCTATAAAATGCTTGAGACTGAATGTATGCAATTTCGTGAAAGGTACTGAGTGGCTGAAAGAAATTCAGAACAGTTTATTGTGGACATTATTAACAGGTTTAGCTCCAGTAGTAATCTGTCTCTCTGAACTGATCTCAAGAAAACCACTACATGGTTGAAAATATTTTTAGAAATAGCTCCATGATCATTTTAGCTCCAGTATTTCATGTGCCAAAATAGGGTGCACCACTTGTTTGAGCATGAGGGCTGCATCAGCAGTGTGATGATTCAGAAGCCACATGCCAGTGCGTGGGTTGTTGACTCTCCTTTCCCCTTCCTTACTTTCATTCAATCAGACCTGTGATGTATATTCTCTGACCCCTCTCCTTTCCCAAAGAGGTGACCCAGATGGGTATAACAATATCTAGATTTTTTTTGTATTTTAAGTGTTTCTTAAAAGGCTTTTAAAGGATACAAATATGTCCAATGGTCAGGAATGACTTAGCTATGAAGTATGTCATGGAAGAGAACAGACATTTTCAAGAAAGGTTTTTTCCCCCAAATAAAACTTGTAAGAATAATATTTCTGGTGTTAATAGTAGACATGCTTTTAGCATTACGTCCATGGTTTTTGGATTTGAGCTTTTTTGTTTGGATCATTAATTTTTGAAGGGATTCATCCAAGTCATGGTACTTTCTCATTTTTTAGTTACTGATAGTATGTAATAGTGATGACTTGGTTTATGTTTGCTCCAAGTTTCTGCAAAAGAGCTTTTGCTCAAATTCTGTTCAGTAGTTCTTGATGCACTGTCTTTTCTACTTTTTGCAGTAATATTCATATAGTGTTCCCTTTGTGTGAACGGTATGCAGGTCTGTACCCTGTAGGTCTCTGGGCTTTCATTAGCTGTACATTTTCCTCCCTCCCTTATTGTGTCGCAGTCTTTACGAAACCACTTTGTTTTGTTCTCTCTGCTCACTGCGCAGCTGTGAGCAGTTGCTGCAGTTGAGAGGATTCCCTGGAAGGCCTTTATGAGACAGCATTTTGATGACTATTCATTCAAAGGAGTTTTTAAAGGAATCTATAAACCTGGTGATTTTTCACCCTTTCTCTCCCAGGCATTTTCTCTTTGCATCAGTACTTCCTAGGAACATTATTATTGATCTTGTGTGAGATTCCCCCCCCCTTTTTTTTGTGTAGTGTCTGTGGCTATAGGATCAGCTGGCATTTATGCCACTGCAGTCCAAGTCTGCGTTGACATGGCCTGCTACATTATTTTCCCATTTTTAGAATGGCAGGTAAGTATTTGCTGTCCCATATATGCTGGATCTCTGGTGTGCATTTGGTAGCTTCTTACATACATTTGTTTTGATTGAATGTTATGTTTTCAAATGTTGTGATCTTTAAAATATTAACTATTTCAAATTATATTGATTTCAATGTATAGTCTGGAAAGTAAGAAAAAAAAACCCTGAGAAAATTAGACTTTGGGAATCTTGATTCCTTGTTGCTCAAAGCTGGGGAACTTTCTCAGTTTCTGGACTGAATTCAAACTTCAAGGACAGGTCTCATTCCATTGGTGGGCAGTGCCAAAGGCAAAAGGGTACATCCTCAAGCACCAGTATATTTAACTTCTCTTGCTGATAATTGAGGAGATGCATTTTACATTTGGGGGGAAGGGGAATGTACAGAAACAGGGAACAGTGCTTTTCTAGAGAGCTCTACAGGGTTAGATTGGGATCCTGGAGGGACATAATTGGCTCTAGGACTAGTGGCTGCCCACCCCTGGTTGAGCTGTTGCATAGTCCTAGTCCCAACTATTATGCTAACAATTATATACATTTGAGATTGCTTCCAGGCAAACACTGCCTAATACTTCCACTTGAAATTGGTTATGTACTTACCATTGTGGAGGTTTTTTTTGTGAGGGGAGAGGGGAAATTATAAATGGAAGATGTCCACAACTGGGTTTTCTGTAGGATTTTATAAACAAACAATAGTGCAATAAAAGCTCTCCTAGTCATATCGAAGACACTTTAATTTCTAGTGCACATGATGAAATTTAGAGCTGCAGTCTTAGGAAATCACATACCCCTTTGCTTGCCTATTTTGGTCTTGATCCTCTTTTTGGAAGATGAGATCTACCAAATTAATGCTTTCTCTCTGCCTTTCTCTTTCTCTCTCCCAGGTAATCACAGTGCCTCAGCAGTTGGCCTCAGGTGGTTCAGAAAGTGAACACTGTGAGATGCCTCCTTCCTCGGAGCCCATGGGAGAAGAGGGGACTCCTAGACAAGGAGCAATGGCTGTATTAGCCAGTGCTGTGGTTGAAACAGATGGATCATCCACTACCCCTGAGCAGCGGGAACTGGAGGAGACCTCAGTCACTGCTAGCAGCATGCAGTCTAGCTCGGAGCCCTGGTCCAAAGGGGGCTTTGTGCGGAAGCAGCCAAGCTCTGATAGTGAACTTTCTGCCCCCATGGGTTGTAACTTACAAAGCTGGGAGCGAAGCCAACAGTCGCATGAGGAGAGGGGTGGCACTCACACAAAGAGGCGCAGTTCCCTCTTTTATTCTCCCTCATCCCCAATGAGCAGTGATGATGAATCCGAAATCGAAGATGAGGATCTGAAGGTGGAGCTGCAACATTTGCGGGAGAAGTAAGGACCACTCAGCATTGTAATAGATTTTCAAGAGCTTCGGGATTTTTAAAAATAATATACTGACTAGGGGTTTCTATGAGTTGCAGTACCTTTTCTAAGCTCTGGTACTGATCCTGGAGCATATCCCAAAGGTGGACCGAATAGAACATAATATTGTCTGTTACTCAAGGTTTCTGCTTTTGAGGTTAGAGCTTAGGCCTGGTTTTGCTGTTTCCAGATCAGTTGTTGTTTCATTTACGATTATTGTTAAAATGTGTCCTGTTTTGCTTTTAAAAACAGCCTCAACACAAAATTGAAAGTAAAAGAAAAATGATTTCTCCAGCAAACAAAATAAGCAAATGCAATTGAAAAAGAAAACAAGGAAGTCTTACTACAGACACCAATGGAAGTCTTTTGCAAAAGTCCCAGCAAAATCAGCAGACAATAAGGCACAGATCACAAAGTCCTTAACACAAAGCAGGTTCCGGCAGTAACAGAGTTGTTGTTAGCAGCGAAAAGCTACGTTCTCCTGCTTCTGATTTATATGCCATGCAGGAGGGCTTAGGGCGTCACCCAATTAGTTTATCAATCTTTTAGCCGCTAATCGAGCTGACCACTGCCTGTTCTCTGACTCCCTCCGTCTTTCTAAAAAAGTAGGCACCTGCAAAGCCTCATTGTCAGATTCTCCTTCCTTTCCCTCCAAGACCTGAGCACCTCCCTGCTTCCCTTCCTCTTCCAACCATGAGGAATCCCCAACAAAATGCTTATTTGAAAGATCGTCAGAAATAATGTAAATTGTAATCAGATTTATTTAGTGGACACTCCATAAATTTGTGCATGAAGAATACAGTAGTTGTGAAGACATTCTCTTAGAAGTAGCATTCTCTCCATAGTCAGAGAAAGAACAAATGAGAAGTTACCACGGTTTCACTCAGAGACCCAGTGCTCCCTCCTAAACACACATACACTTGTTTGATTTTAGAAGATAAGCAAGTTATTAGACTTCAAAAAAAGGAATACCATAGATATCCTGGTGAGAATAGGAGAAATCTGCCAATGTGTTTTGGAGCTCGTGCCAGTCAGAGCTGACATTACTCAGCCGTATGATTAATTGTCTCACAACAGAAATATCTCTGTTTACAAAGTATTGTCAACCCTCCACATTTGATGGTGTTAGGGACACAGGACCATGTCAAAAGTGGAAAAAAATAAACACAAAAAATCTAATTTTTAACCTCATAGTATACTTCTCTAAGAAACTGTAGGTCCTCCAGCATGACTTCATGGCTAATTTCTGCTGGAAACAGACCATGAAATTACACTGGAGGACCCAGCAATTCCTAGAGAGGTGTTCTTACTATAAATCTTTAAGTACTCTAGCATGACTCTGAGATGAACTTCCAGCAGAAGTTGACCATAGAGTTTCACTGATGACCTTAGAGCAGTGGTTCTCAACCTGTGGGTGCCCAGGTGTTTTGGCCTACAACTCCCAGAAATCCCAGCTGGTTTACCAGCTGTTAGGATTTCTGGGAATTGAAGGCCAAAACATCTGGGAACCCACAGGTTGAGAACCGCTGCCTTAGAGATTTCAATAGAGAAATCTCTATAGAAATATCTATATTCAAATTCATGAATAATCAAATCTGTAAGTGTCAAACCCAGTAAGGAAATAATCTCATAGTTACCTGTATTGTATCACGTTACCTGTAGGGCATCATTTTCTTGTGGTACTGTGTTTTAAAAGCAACATTATGAAAATTAAAAAAAAAACAATTTATGGTATAAGATTGCCAGGTTGCTTTCTAAAGTTAATTTTATGGGCATTTAAATGCATTTTTAGCAGCATCTGACTGGAATTTTTCAAGGTCTAAAACCATTTTCGTATCAATCCTTATCAATCCTAAGGGAACCATAGCAAGTGATGCAACAAACTGTGTGCTAAATTGAGATTTTTACTATTTTAATGAGTAAAGGTGTGATTTACTTTCAAAACATTTCTGTGAATAATGGGAATAACCAGAATTATTGGATAAACTGAAATATATTTAGCAAGCTTTCTGTTTGGGACTTCTTCTTACTGAGGGTTTGGTCTTCTCATCTTCTTTCCAGACATATACAAGAGGTAGTGACTCTTCAGGCTCAGCAGAACAGGGAATTGCAGGAATTATATGAGCGTCTTCGCACCATCAAAGATAGCAGATCGGAATCATCTGAGATCTCCTTGCCACTGTCATCTCCACGCCGGCCTAAATCTTTCAAAAGCAAACTGCGGAGCAGGCCCCAGTCTCTCTCCCATGTAGATAATGGCCTTGTGGCTGCTGGTAAGGACATGAGAGTGCAAGACAGTCCATAATATTGTTGCTGTTGTGGAAATTTGGTGAAATTGAAAGTTGTTCTAATACATAACAAAAGTGGAAGGTTCACAGAAGCATCAGGAGGAGTCTGTTAACAAGTAGTTACTTTCTCTTTGGACAAGCCCTCTTTTTTTGTTCACATTGCTTGTCATGGACATTTTGCAGGAGCAAAAATATGGATATGACTTACTCCCAAACACCCAGATAATTTTCCCTCTGTCCATTTGCTGTGTACTGTATATACTCGAGTATAAGCCTAGTTTTTCAGCCCCCTTTTTAGGCTGAAAAAGTTCCCGTCGGCTTATACTTGACTCAAGGTTATTTATTACTTTACTTTGTTATTAGTGTCATTTTATTACATTAATTATTTTAATATATTTATTATTATTATATTTACATTATTTTACTCTACAGTATTATTATTTTATTACATTTATTATTTTACTCTATTTATTATTAGTATTATTTATTTACTCTTTATTATTATTACATTTATTGTTTTACTTTATTTTTATTGTTACTGCATTTATAATTTTACTCTGTTATTACTATTATTACATTTCCATTATTTCACTCTATTATTATTATTGTTATTATTATCCTGACACAAAAACACAGTATGACACAGCAAATGAGGTAAATATGCTGGATTTCATTATTATTATTATTATTATTATTATTATTATTTTACTCTCTGTATTATTATTGGAGGGATACATAAGCACATTTACACTGAAGATTAGAATAATGATTTAATCAGAGCTAGACAGTCTTATCTTAAATTACAGTTTTATGTAAATATTCAAAAACATTTAACCTACTGATGCCTCAATTAATGTAATTTTATTGATATCTATTTTTATTTTGAAATTTACCAGTAACTGCTGCATTTTCCATCCTCGGCTTATACTCGAGTCAATACGTTTTCCCAGTTTTTTGTGGTAAATTAGGTGCCTCGGCTTATATTCGGGTCGGCTTATACTCGAGTATATACAGTATATTCCCTCTTCATCTACAGTGAGCAGAGCTTTTCAAAGAAATATCTGAAGAATGAATGCTAGTTGCATGCCCAGGATTCCTCAAACGGATTTGTAACGATTTAATCTTGCATATATTATATTTATTTGACTTCATCCCCTTTCTCCTCTCCTACAGAATCGTTTCTAACTAGTTCATCTATTTCTTCCGTTCTTCTGCCCCACAGAATGCTGCTGTGCTACTACTGCAGCCTCTGTGATAGACTATCAGTTGAGCATTCAAGCCCATTTGCTGCATCAGAGCTGTTCACAAGCAGAGACGAGTCAAGGTAATTGCAAATTTCATCCTGCCTTCAAAAAATAAACCCAAACGGGGAAAAAATCCAGCTAATTCACATTCCATAGTTTATATCATACTGGGCAGGCTTGTAAAAGGTGCTAAATATCCCCCTCCAAAAAAACCCCCACTGGATATCCCCCTATAAAACCTTTTACCCCTACAAGTTGTATAAAGAGATATTTTTCCCTATGGGGACAAAGACACTGAAGAAAAAGATGTGGCTGGAGGCTATAATGCATCACTTTCCATTGTTCCTGGCTAACAGGCAAATGTTAAACAGCAGGAGAGAGAGTTGAGAGAAAAAAAATCTTATTACCATCAAGAGGGCTGCCTCCTGTGGTCTAAATCCCCTTATTTTTCTTTCTTGAAGAAGAACCCATTACTGTTCCAGCAATTTTAAAGCAAATCTCAATTCAGTGGTAGTCTCCTCTTAGCTATGCTTATTGTACAGATTAGGGACCAGGGTACTGTCAAAATAAAGAAATGGTTGGAAAATGGAACCCAGTGGGGTTCTGCTTAGTTTGCAGGTGTAATACTGAAGACTAGATGGCATTGAGTCAATGGAGGGAGAGACTAAAACCAGCATGCTTTGTAAACTGAGGGAGGGGGGCAAGCAAGGCATAGTCAAAAGAGAGACTTATTTACTTACTTGCTTGCTTACTTACTTACTTACGCGATCCCTCATTGGCCAAGTAGGATAGTCTTCCAGAATCAGTATTCTTGTGGGTCCGTAGGTGACTGTGGAGCCCTATTTGTTTAGAGTGGCTTGTAGATCATCTTCTGAATGCGCACAGACAACATTGTCATCAGCATACTGTAGTTCTGTAACAGATGTTGTAATTCTCTCCCCTCCATAGACCAGCTCTGCATTGTTAGCAGCACTGCTTCTTGTCAGCAGACGACGGCCAGTAAGAAAGGGATGTTCACAGATGACTTACATAAACTAGTGGATGATTGGGCAAAAGAAAAAGTGGGGAACTCGCTTATTAAGCCAAGTCTCAACCAAATCAAACAGAACAAACACCGACTGGACACGGACAGTTGGAGCAGAGTATATGAGGTATGATGGTTGTGTTATCCTTAAATAATGGTAGAAATATATGACCTTTCAGACATCATTAGACAATTGCTTTCATCAGCACTAGCCAATATGACCAACCCTGCCAGGTCTACTGTGTACTTTTGCCAGGAGGTTTACACCTTAATTTTCTTTAAAGGAACACACATCTTAACAGGTTTGATATCTGGCCAGATAGCCAGAGAGATATCCCAATACTGCCTTGACCAAGGTTCCCTTTCAGAGCATAGAGAAGAGAGGTGCGCGGGTGGGTGGAGGCCTCGTAGCTCTCGCCAGCAGGCGCACAGGCGGCTTTGCAGCTATGGGATTTCTCTCAGCTCGGGAAAGCCCCATAGCTGCAAAAAAAATTCCTCACATAATAGTCACAGCCCCTCCTAACCCCTCCCCCCCCAAAGGGGAATAAAATTCAACTATTATGAAATGTGGTATTTGCTCCCTATTTCTGATTTGCATTCTGCCTTTCCTCCAAGCAGCTGAACACAATACTTAACATTTCCTCCTTTTTATCCTCATGCCAACTTCTTTGTCTATCACATTAGATTGTTATAGTGCTCTATTCCATTTTCACTTCCATGGCAACATCCTGTGGAATTATGGAGTGTGTAGTATAGTGAAGCCCAAGAGCTCTCTGTATGAGACTTCTAAATGGCACTCCCTAAACTGCAAATCCCAGGAACCCATATGATATTGCCATGATACTTAAAGTGGCATACTGGAATACTGTATAATGCTATAACAGTTAAGTGTTATAAGGATTCTGGGGAACGAGGCCAGGCTGAGGGAACAACCAATAGGCAAGGGACACTACGTGGAGTTCATTACTGACTGGATTATTCAAATCTGGCTCTCCTCGTTTTAGTCTGACTTTCTAACCCAGGGGTCTGCAAACCAAGGTCTACAGGTTGAATGCGGTCCTCCAAGGTCATTTCCTTGGCCCCTGCCCTAAGCTTTAGGCTTATAACTGCCCTAAGTCTGAAACGACTTGAAAGCACACAACAGCAGCAATCCTAATTAACTTGACTATCTTGACAGCCAGAAGCAGGCCCACACTTCCCATTGAAATACTGGTAAGTTTATGTTGGTAAGAAATGTTCTTCATTTTAAATTCAGACAATCCCCAAGTTACAAACAAGATAGGTTCTGTAGGTTTGTTCATATATTGAATTTGTTTGTAAGTTGAAATAGGTATATTTTTTCAGTGCATCCATATATGTGTGCCTGTGTGGTGTTTGTGTGTCCGGTGTTTGATTTCACCTCACTTTCTGTCCCAGTGATCATTGTATTTTGAAAAACCTGGCTTGTTATGGAGAAACTGAAGCAAGAAAGCTTCAGTTGAGACACCTTTCCCCATGATAACCCTTTCAGGAGTGAATTTCGCTTTCGAGGGGTTGATTTCTCTCACTTCCTGTTGTCTCATTCCTATTCTTAACTAGGAGTCATTTGTAACTCGGGAACTGCCTGTATTGTATTGTTCTCTCTCTCTCTCTCTCTCTCTCTGTCTCCCTCTCTCTCTGTCTCCCTCTCTCTCTCACACACACACACATGCACACTCAAATAAGATATGTGCAGTGTGCATAGAATTTCGTTAATGTCTTTTTCAAAATATAGGCCAACCCTCCAGCAGTCTGAGGGAACATGAACTGATAATAATAATAATAATAATAATAATAATAATAATAATAATACTTTATTTGTACCCCGCTACCATCTCCCCAAGGGACTCGGTGCGGCTTACATGACACCGAGACCGAATACAACAATACAAGCAAAACAACAACAGTACAAGCAATTAAAATAAAACATAGACAATAAAATATACAACATTATCAATAAGACAACACGCAATTAAAAACAGTGGGAAGGCCAAATGTAAAGTTAAAATGGAAATAACGCTAGGACATGGACGAAAGGTGATAGTGGCGTTTGTGGAAGGGCATACGAGCAGATCTAAAAAGTGTAAAGTGCTTTGGAGGACAAAGTGCTATGGGATCATCATTCTGGGAAGGCACACTGGAACAACCACGTCTTCAAGCTCCTCTAAAGACTGCCAAGGTTGGGGCCTGTCTGATGTCTTTAGGGAGTGAGTTCCAGAGTCGAGGGGCCACCACCGAAAAGGCCCTGTCTCTCGTCCCCACCAACCGCGCCTGCGATGCTGGTGGGATCGAGAGCAGGGTCTCCCCGGATGATCGAAGGGATCGCGTGGGTTCGTATACAGAGATGCGGTCACGCAGGTAGGCGGTTCCCAAACCGTTCAGGGCTTTGTAGGTAAGAACCTGCACCTTGAATTGGGTCCGGTAAATGAATGGCAGCCAGTGGAGCTCCTTGAACAGGAGGAATGACCGCTCTCTGTAAGGAGCCCCAGTTAACAACCTGGCTGCCGCCCATTGGATCATCTGAAATTTCCTGGCCGTTTTCAAGGGCAGTCCCACGTAGAGTGTATTGCAATAATCCAGTCTAGAGGTGACTAAGGCGTGGACCACCTTGGCCAGATCCTGACCCTCTGCTTAAAAGGTTTGAGGATCCCTGCTCTAACCAGTAGCAGCTAGCCCAATAATAATAATAATAATAATAATAATAATAATAATAATAATAATAATACTTTATTTATACCCCGCTCAATCTCCCCCAGGGGGACTCGGTGTGGCTTACATGAGGCCACGCCCAACAATACAGTAACACAATATAACACAAAAGCATTACAAAACCAGAAAAGAAAATACATATAACCATCTATGTTTCAGTTCTTTTATTTGCTCTTTTAATGATAGCCAGAAAGACAAGGGTACATAATCTATTGTTTTGTGCTACAAATAACTGCTGAGCCTGGATTTCTCTCTATTTAAATTGCCTCTGTTTTCTCTTGTTTTTCAAGACGACCGCATCAACGGTGGGGTACACATCCACATGGATTTCTTCCCTTTCCCAGATTCGTGGGACAATACCAGCTGCTTTGCCCCAGGGACTCCCCCTGTCGCCCTTTTCCAGCACTATATCGCCGTATGGAGTGCCCCATGTTTGCCAGTACAACACTATGGCGGGGACAACTTACCCAGTGCAATGGATGGGCATTTCAGGGACGCCACCGCAGCCCGTTGTCGTTCCTGCTCAGTCTGCAGGACCCTTTCAGCCAGGGATAAGCATGCCAGCCTTCCCCGCCTCCCCTGTGCAGAATCCAGCTCCCATCCCTCCAGGTCCTAAGTGAAGGTGGATGGCTCCAGGAGGATAGCGATGGGGACTGTGCCTATAACTCATGATTCCATTCCTCTGCCTTGCATTCTGCAGCCTGGATTGTTGGGAGCCGATGAATTCCCCAGTGCGGCAAAGTGTGATGGGAGTGGTGGGAGACTGCCTTTGCATTCTCTTCTTTGAATACTTGATTTCATTTTCTGTTCTTTTTTTTGTGGGGCGGGGGGAGGGTTGGGGAGACTTTTTTTCTTTTAACAAGTACTTGAGAGAGCTTGGACCTGTTCATCTCATTCTTCCTGAGATGGACTTCATGCCCACGTGCTGCTTATTATTGATGAGCCTTCCTTGCCATTCTTGCCCCAGTTTCCTTGTTACTTCTCATGGATTTGGTTTTCTTTTCTTTTTTTTATTAAGAGATATAGTAGCTCTTCTAAAATTGTACACATTTGGGCATTTGAGTTAGTTTACTGAAGGGGATGGCACAATTCCCCTTAATTTTCTGTTTCTCTGGTTTCATCGTCAGCTCAGATTGCAGGCTAGCTTGGGAAGGTGAAAAAGAAAGGAAGAAAAATGCTGGTAGCTGCTGTTTGAATCCAATGATAAACTGAAAGATTATCAAAAGAAAATACACAAACAGTTGTGATCGATTAGTTCATTTTGTAAGTTTGTAATTGTTGCTGGGCAATTAATGGCAGCTAGATTCCTTATACGCACACTGCATTTGATAGCTGTATATGGGTTGTTGGCCAGATTTTTGTACCTGAGTTTTGGGGTTGTGTCTTTTTTTATATATATAAAAGCTTATTTTGCAGCTGACACAAATCTTCTATTGAGCAGAGGTGGGAGGGCAGTAGCAGAGGGGATGGGAACAGAAGGGGAGATTGCCTAAGGGGCTTTAAAAAAAGTCCCATGTCACCCATTTGCACCTCATTTGTGATTCATACTTAACATAGTTTTTATGAACGGAAAAATTATGCATGGAAACAGGGTCATGTGCTCACAGTTGGGTACCAATTGGGGCTGCTTATCAGTGAATTAGATGCACGGAGGCCCATAGCTTAGAAGATCAATGTTGTCTCTTGCAGCTAAAGATGCTTATGTGGTGCTGCACGTATTTGCTGACTCCAAAGAGCAAGTCTTCCATCTTTGTGGAGGATGTTTGAAAGATAAATAAGCTGTACAAGCATGATCGGCAGCAAGGAAAGAATATCAGGCTTCCTTTTGTTTAACTTTTAACTGAAGAGAAAGACAAACCCATGGTCTGGGAATTTGCTGAGTATCAACTGAAAGCCACCACTGTTTGGAGTTTTACACTTCCACAGCTTCTTAATTTAATAAATTGTATTTCATCTCCTCCATGAGGGCTATACTTAGCAAGATCATTTTGCCAAAGGAATGGCTCCATTTCATAGTTGCCTTAATTGGGCCATCGACATTATTTACTAGGACTAACATTACACTCTTTGTTGCTTCATTTATTTCTAGTCTTAATGGATAACTCCCTCCTCCGTTCAAGAGTTTTAAACTCGCAGGTCTGCTTCATTTATGACTCCAGGCACTTAACATTGCATCCCCATATGGATTTCCCTTTTCCCTCCATACATTCAGAATTGCAGAGCTCTGCTTGTATTTTGAATTTGCAAAGTTAAATTATTATCTCTGGGGTGTTGTGTCAGATTTGCACTGTTGTCGAACGTGGAAATGTACTTGCTTTGTTAAGAAAAGTAAGAGGAATGTAGAAGAGACTGTAATTCAGTGCAGAAAAGCAGATGAGGGGATCCTTCAACCATTGCTGTTCTCGGTAGAGTGACAGGCATTGCAGTTAAATAAAATCTTCCGGGCCACATGATTCCCGTCCTTAAATTAAATCTGGGTATCTGAGGCTCAGGCATTTGAGTCCCATTTAAAGCAGTTGAATTAAAGTGTTTTGGCTTCATTATCTTCTAATTGGATGGCCAGGCTGCCTAGAATACTTTTCGTTGCAGAGACAAACAACATATTTGAACTTGCCTCTTAAAATGTTATTGGAAAAGTAACATCTGGGTGTTTTGTAGCCTCCCTTCCCTTCTGTTTCCGCTGGGAGAAAAGGCCCTGTTTCCCATGTATAATGCAGCCTCCTTGTTCTGCCTGCAAAGATTTGCAGTGCCTTGTGATAGATAATCTTTAGCATCTTTTCAGATTTTTACTGGAAAGGCAAAAAAGTTGTTGTAGTCTTTTGAAGTTTGATGTTTGAACAGTGCATTGCTGTAAATCCCATGATGATCTGCAGCAGTGGAATTAAATGTACTTGGTGGGGGAGACATTTCAGTTTGAAGAAATGAGAACAGTGTTACATCTTTCTTAAAAAATACTTAAAACACATCCTTTATTTTTTTAAAAAAAGTTTGCTCATTTTTCTTCTTCTTTTTTGGCTTCTCTAAAAGAGATATTGACTGCAAACTTTGGTTGGGGCACACAGGAAAGGGTGGAATTTTGTGCTGTACTTGAAAAGTATTGCCAAGTGAAATACCTTGACCGGTCCCAAAACATAAGCTATTGAGAAGTAGTACGGGAGGCTACTTTATGTTTTCTGCAACAATTGTATGTGTGCCTTGAGTATATCAGTGGTACCTCGTGGTGTTTGTGTTTGTGTGTGTGTGTGTGTGTGTGTGTGTGTGTGTGTGTGTGTGTGTAGCAGACATACTTGATATGAATGACTTTAGGGATTCATGGTCCAACAAAAGCTCTCCTGCATGTGGAAATAGATTGGTAAGGATGTACACTTCTCATTCACAAGTCATTCATTTGATGGGGATGGATGGGTAATACCACAAAAGAGCAGTGTTGCTGCATAAAAATATGAAGTGCTCCTTAGTGTCAAAGCCAAACTAATCACAGGCAGAACAGAATATTGAAATGAGTCTCCTGCTTAGTTCATGTAAAGTGGAAGGAAGGATTTAAAGCACATCATGCTTAGGCTTGAGTGGAGCACTGAAGCCATATTTCCTCGCCCTCAGCTTCTTTCCAGCTTTTTAAAAAACTGGTTCAATTTGAAACTGGAGGTAAGAGGAAAGCATGGGGTTGGGACATGTGTACACAGGTTTCAGCATCTCCTTTCTAGTTACCCATGTTGTTTTCAAATCAACCTTCTTCATCATACCAACATGAGATCCGTTACCTTTGCAACTGAGGATCACTGTAAAATAGTGCAGTTTTGTAGATGTGTTAGTTGTTTCCTCTCATTGTTTATACCAGAATAACAATAATACGAGACTTGGTTTTAGTTCATGTGATGCAAAAAGGCCTTCAAAGCATAACACAATATGGCAGTGATATCCTCACTTTGGTCACCTTCTTCTAAGGCACAAGTTGGACATTGCATAGAGGTGCTTCAGAGACTCAGTTTTCTCAAAAGGTGGCACATGAGAATCTTCTTTTAAGTGGGTCCAAAGCAGTATAAAACTTCATGTAAGATTTGTTCACTTTGGGCAGGGGGATCTTTCCAAACTAATTAGTCATAGTACAGTCTACAAGGGTTTCCTTCTTTCCAGTGTGGAATTCAGCAAGAACATGCCCTATAAAAGGAAGCAAAGTTTAAGCAGTATAGGTGCTGCAGAGGTTAAGCCATAGTCCCTTTTCTTTTTCCTCTTATCACTCCAGTTTGGAACAGAATTTGTCTATGAGCATTGTTTATGTATAGTGCCAATATATATTTTCCAGATTGTGATGGTGGGGGACAAAACATGATTTCCTATATGTGGAAAGTGGAGGCGAGGGTGGGAGGCGAGGGCAATGCCAATTGAGTAAGGCTTGTGTTTGTATTGTGCAGCGTGTGCATTGAACCATTCCACTTTAGTTGGTCTTCTGAAAGGGCCATTGTTTTGCAGCTCCTAACATAAATTCCCTTCAGGGAACTCCTTACATGGTTTTCTGTCATTTGATAAAGAGAAGAAAGTGGACAGTGATCAAGTAACCTGTCTGTTTTATGTCATTTCCCGTTTACAAACAGTTGAGTCTTTTCAGTTTACTTGTATCTGTGTGAGGCTTAGGTTGTAGAGATTGGAGGGTTTCTGACAAAACCCCATTTCCTGTCCACAAATCTCTAGTAGTACGGAACACACTCAAATTATCCGCCTCAAGTGTGGAGCATGATGATATTGTGTCATACACATTTTGAACTAATAGACTTTGTATGGAGGAAAGAAGGACAGGTGGCACTGCCAGCGCATCCTTCATAATACCTGCTTTCTGCCTTTTGTGCTCACATAATATGAGGATAGAACCTTTGTTATCCACAACGTACAGGATGATTAGCTATGTTTTAACAGGATCTGTTTAAAAAGCTACTGCAGTGTTTGAAAGATTGTACAACCTACTTGCTGTGTATGAACAACAGAAAACTGACTGACTGTCTTAAAAAGCCTGAGCCAGCTGCTGACTTGCACATTAGAAGAAAGAGGGAAATATTTGGTACTTTTGTATTGGTTTTGAGTATCTGTGTTTAATGTGTAGTCTGGTTTTCTTTCCCTCCCAGCTGCTTACATATTTTTTTTCCAAAACAAAAATTGACAACTAGGAATCAAACTGTGAATTTGGTTTTGGGATGTGTGTTTAAAGGCACTTTTCTGTTGTGACGCTTGAAACTTTGCTTGTGTAATATGAATGGGATGTATCATTTCAATGACTGGTTAATTTTTCAGTTGTATTCTAGCTGAGTTGTGTTTTTTTTTCCTTGCATCATTTAAAAGTTTCATTTTCTTATCTACCTCATTTGTTACTGCTGTTTAAATCTAGGCTGTGATGTGAACAGTTTGTTCTACTTCCCCATATAATTTTTTTCTAATTTGTTTGAGTTCTGAGACAGTGTTTCGACACATATAACTCTTCCCCTTCCCACTTCACTTTTCTTCCTTGTAATTTGTCAGCAACAGTTCATACACTGTTTACAGTTTTAAGGAGGATGTTTAACTTTCACAAGGAAGACTTCAGAGGCTTATGCATCACCTTGAGTTTGACTTACTGTGACAGATGAATGAAAAGAACAAACCCTTGCATTGTTTCCAGAATATCTTTCAATGGGATGCAGCAGCTTTGCAAAGTGTGTGACCCACTGCCTCATTAGTCTTCCATTCAGCAGGGAACCTGATGTACGTGGGAAAAATGAGCTTTAAAAGCTTGCTTTCCTCAGGAAGGAACTCTTCCTCTGTATTTGCATTGAATGATTGCTGGCAAACTAGTGAGGATGGTGCCAACACTAATGCTTCTGAGGGATCCCAAGCAGGATATAAGCTTGCACCCTCCCTCCCTCCATCCCAGGTTTTTTGAGATGCTCTCACGTTTTGGTAAACTTTCCCAAAGCTTGCATTGACATCAATCTCAACCATGGTGCAAGCTGAAATCAATATATGCTGTTTATGGGTTTTACAACTTCAATTAGATCTCTGGTTAATAAGGAGTCCCCTATTAGGATTGACCTCCCTTATAGTTTGTGCTGAAATGTGCTTTAACAATAGTCAAGAGTAATGAGGGAGGAGGACAACAGTGCAAGGCTTAATGCCTTAACAGAGTGTAAAGGATTGGGAGAGTTACAGCAGCACAAACTTTTCACAAGATGTATTTTGGAAGGCAGAGCCTTTGATTGCTTTTATGGCAATAAAGCCATACACTCCTGATTGTTTATCAGTGCAGAAACCCAGCAAACATTTTGTAAGATGTGTGGTATCTTTAAAAATGTAGATAAATTGTTTGATTTTAAAAGTCATGTTTCAATTTACTAAATGAGGAACCCCAGCTAAACATCTCCCTACCCCTCAGAACTGATCTAGACAGCAGAT